CCTGAGCTGCTTCAAGAGGGATAAGAGGACCTGTTTGGTTTTGGGTGTGAATAGAGGAGAGAGAGAGTAGATGAAGGAAAACAGGAGAGGGAAGAAAGAAAAAGGGGGAACAAAAAAGAACGTACCAAAATGACGTCGTTTTAATACCTCAAGCCATCCGACCTAGGGAATGTCTGAGCTACCTAGCAGCTCTGTTTATTTTCTAAACAGTAATGCCTTCCTTCTCCTTTTAAAGTCTATCCGAAAAAGAATTCAATACTTTTTTATTGTGAATATCGAAATTGATTGTTCGCTGTTCAAGAATTTTGAAAGAGTGAAGTCTGGGGTCAACGGTAAACGTGAGAAATGGGACCTTCAAAGCTACCCGCCCTACTTTTTCTCTCTTCTAATAATAACTAAGTAAATATAAAAGGAAAAAGAAGAATATTTCTATTCTATGGACCCCTTAGACCTTTAAGCTCTTTTATGAAACTCACTGTGCTGAAATTTAAGCTTTGAAAACACTTTCTGAAATTCAAAACACAAACTCAAAAATTTATTGTGAATTTTTTTTTTTTAAATCATGACTTTATAAAATAAATAAGGTTTACAGAATATATTCACAACTACTTGATTTAGAAATAGGGAATATAATTTGAAATCACATAGGTTTGGACCTTTGCTTTCTTTGAAGCCCAACAAGAGTAAAATTTTCTTGAACACTTCACCTAATATCCAAAGTAATCCCATCCTTGATCTCCAATGACTAATCTCAAACCCCCTTTTCTGTCTGCTGTGGTGGTGTTAGGGTGGTCGTGGAGGCAAAGGAATGTGTTGTCGGTGGTAAGGAAGGCCAGTGGTGAGGCTATTAGCAGTGAAGGGTGGTGGCAGAGCAGCAGGGCACATGGATGGTGGTGTTTTTTCTGATTAGGTTGGGGAGCAGAACGTGGATTAAACAAAGGTGGGAATTAGAGAAAGGTAGGAGTCCAAAGAATTGAGTACTTTGTAGTAATTTCACCCAAGGGTAAAATTTCAATTAACAAAAGAATCATAAAAAAGTTGGGGGTGATTCTACTTACACCACTCTTTTACCTCCTTACACCCTCCATCTCATTACATCACTTAAAAAAAAATTGAATTCTCATTACACCTAATATAGTACCAAAACAAACCCTATGATAAAAAACTCTTCAAAACCCATCTCTTTACATCCATACCTTTGGAGGGAAAAGAGAACAACGCGGGGAAGAAGAGTAGACAACACCAGCGTAGAGGCGTTCGGACGGCGTGGACAATTGAACTCACTCTTCTCATTTGCCAAAGGTAAGTGAGAAACCTCTTTTTTCTCTCTCTATATTGATGGACATAGATATGTGTATCTATCTATATATTTATATCATCTATGTTATCATTTTTTGCAAATAGACAAAGAATAGCACATTCCCAACATAGCTTTGGTGGTTTAGATCTTGGAATTTAATTGGGTTTGTGATTTTTGGTGCTAGTTTTGAATGTTGAAGTTCAGATTCTATGTTTTATCAAAATTTTGGTCCTCTGTTTTGCCCACTGTCTTTTTCTTTTTCTTTTTTTCTTTTTTTTGAGAGTGATAGTTAAGTGGAAAGGGTTAGGGTTCTATGGGTAAAGAGATGCCATAGAAGGTTATCAATAGTTGTGGAAAAAAATTGAATTACTGGGTTAGAGTTTTGTGGGTTAGTCAAGTGAGCACCATTTCTAGGTTAGTCAAGTGAGCACCATCTCTACAAAACATTCCATCATCACATTAAAAATGAATCATGTATAATAAAAATGTTACATTAAACTAAGTTCAAGATTACCATTTTTTTTAATACTTCTCTTAATTTATGTTCAAAATTATAATCAGAATCTCTCATAGATGTCTCATTGTTTCATAGATTTGGGTTACCCCAAACTTTTTAGTAAGTAACTTATATAAGATAATGAGCTGAGTTTTGGAAGTGGGAATGTTCTAGTGACAAGCTAAGCCAATGCCTAGTACCAGTGTTTCTTCTTCAGGACGATCTCACACTCAAGCTAGCCTAATTGACAACCCTACAGTATGTATGATGCACCAATCTCAACCACATTGCACTCCCCTATAGCACCACCCCAAACCATACACCAATAGTAGAATCCTTGAACATCTATCCACCTATTACCACAGGCTGACCATCATGACTCCCACAAATCAATAATTAGTTCACCAACTCATCAACACTACCATCAAACTCACTAGTCACCGCTGCCATTATTAATCCATTCTAAATCACATTAATCCACCTTCCAACCATATTCTCATCCCCCACTAACACAACCACCAAGGTTGCCACACCCTGTTATTTTTTACTTTTTTCCTAGTTTACTTTCTAATTTATTTTCCTAAACTTCTTTATATTCTTGAAACACATTATTCTCTCTCAACTTTTCACCTTTCTTCTCTATTTCCTCTTCTAAATATCTCCACTTTCTCTACAATATCTTTCTGAAGTCAAACCTCTTTAAACCTCTATACTTTTACCAAACTGAAATATCACTGGAATATCACTTGGCTCCTTCAAAATCACCAGAATATTCAGCAACACCTATTTGTGAACGTCAATTTGTTCTGCCGATACAGAGGAGGCTTCTTTGGAATTATCAGATCATTCATGGTGATAATTCTTTTTTATTTTTTTGATAAATATTTTCATGGTGATAATTCTGAATCAAGCAATACCTCGAAGCTACTGAACCTAATGCTTCACCAGAAGGCCCAGAACACTTATGGTGGTGGTGGCAGCTTCGATTGGCAGAGGAAGTTAAGGGAGGATTCGACAGAGGGTCTTGCTCAATGAAGTCACTGACCAAAAAAGTATATTTTTTTACTCTACGGAGTTGCAAGGACCGTTGTAAAAACAAGAGTTTCATTGTTGATTAGCTAGTATATGCGAAGGCACCATCATGACATACTATTTATCTAGTTATTGATGTTTTTCATTTCAGTAAGCAACATATAAATGCTCGTAGTGTGCCTGTACAGCAGCGGCCATTTGAATGTGTATAAGGATACCGTGAGTGGCATGCTCGTGTTTCGCATCGGGTTGTTCAAAATCCTACACATCACTCTCAGTTTGATCCACATGTACAACGTCCCGAGAATGATGTTACTATGGATCCTGAGTGGGTAAGCAAATTGTGAATTAACTTTTTTCACTTTTAAGTGGTTCACCATAAATCAAACACTAAGTACGATTTTTATTACTTTTTTTGCAGTGTAATGATGCTGCTTTCAATGTTGGTGCTGCAGTCCATAGGCTCGGTCGTGATGAGTGTGTCTTGCATCCTGACATGCTGTATGAAACCATTGGTCGCATGCTGCAAGTTCTTGATGGACAGAGTTTGGGATCTACTTCGACACGTACAGAGCATCAAGTCTACTATCGTAAACGTCGTAGGATGGACTGTACATGAGGATTGAGATCTACTTTTTGTTTGATGACATAATTTTGCATAATGTCTAGCTCGTATACATTTTAGGATATAGTTTTGTGCTAACCGTACATGATATTTGGGATGTAGTTTTTTTTTTTATGGCATAGTTTTTATGAAAGCCTAGCTCGTACAGAATTTGGGATCTAGTTTTTTTTTGATGACATAGTTTTTGTGAATGCCTAGGACATACAGAATTTGGGATATACTTTTCCCTAATGGCATAGTTTTTGTAGATATTTTGTAAACCGGATACTTGGTTGGACAAGTAATGAATTGTCATACTTTTGTAAGAATTTTAAACAGTTTCACATCTATTTTGTATTCAATATTTATGTCAATGGAAACTTATTTTGGCGAACATATGGATTTGTTATTGTTCGTAATGCATTGTAATGGTATTAAAGTGTTTTGGAGGGATATGGTACCATTTGCTGGAAGTAACATTGTTTTTTTCAGTGTTATGGGCCAGTTCAGCGTCATACTGCTAAACAATTTGAATTATTCCGGTGTTCAATTGTTGGAAACAATAGATTCCTCCAGTATTTAGTTGTTATATATTTCCAGAGTCACTTTATCCTAAACAATGTTTCTTTTATTTGTGCTGGGGCTGTTCGGTAATAAAATGCTAGTGAATTTTAATTAATCCAGTGTTGTGTTACCAGACAAAGTAGTTTTTCCCAGCATTATGTTGCCACACAATTGGAAAATTTCAATTTGCTTCATAACAAAGTCAGTGGAGCCTACTGTGAAGTGTCTGTTCAGTCACACAATAATAGACAAATTACATTTGTCCAGTGTTATGTTGGTAGAAAAAATATATTTATCTAGCGTTCTGTTGCTATACATTTATAGAGCCACTTTGTTATAAATAATAATTTGGGGTTGTTCGGTAATAGAATGCTGGACTTATATATTTTTTTTCAGTACTGTGATGCCAGACTATGTTATTTTGTTCAATTTCGAAACACCGAACAAAAGTCGCACACCAATCCAGAAAATCGAAACAAAAACCTACCAAACTAAAAAAAAAAAACTCATAATTTCACTTTTTTGATGTTTTTTCATCACTGTTTCTTCATCCATTGCTTTTTTTGATGATCAAAACATTATGATTATCAGTTTTTCAAAAGAGATGTGTAAGAAAAAAAAAAGTTGAGAAAGGAAAAAGAGAAGTTGGAATTGAAAGGTCAGGGGAGTGTAAGGAGATAATCAAATACATTTAATTTTAGTGTTTTGCCCTTTTAAGTAATTTCACATATGGATAAAATTGGAAGAAAAAAACAATCTTATATGGAGGGTGTAAGAATGTAAAAGAGTGGTGTAAGTAGAATCACCCAAAAGTTGGGGTTGAAAGAACATAAGTGGGGGCATTTAGAAGCTCCCTTCTATGACAGATGGTCTTCTATACACAAAAAAATGAAGCAGTTCAGAGTTGCTTCTGTAGGTCTCACAAGAAATCACTTCACTTGAAGCCAGTGGGCCCAAAAACTTGAGCACACAAAATTCAAATACCAACTCAAACTTTTAGAGGATCAAAGAAAAGAAATAAAAAATATCATTTAAATAAGTTTTTGGTACAGAAATAAATAGGCAAAAAAAAAAAAAAAAAAAAAAAAGAAAAGAAAAGGAAAGAAAGAAATCTCTTCTGCTCAAGTAAGGAAGAATTGTGTTTCCTTATATACAAATTTGAATGCTACTCTTCTTCTTACCTTAGGGATCTCTTTGGCTTGATTCACTGACCCTTCGCATCAAACTTGAGTCTTGAGTGCTTAGTCATTTCATGATATAGCTCATTCACTAGTGTCGTGTGGTTTACTTGCATCCGCATGTGCAATTCTCAAGTTCTTTGTGAAGCTTCTGGAAGAGGAACAAGAGAGAATCTAAATAAGAAAAAGTAAAAACTAATTTATAGTTCTATAGACAATAAAATGCAATGTTTTGGTTTTTTTTTTTTAAACAAAAATTTTTCATGTCTTCGTGAAGACTAATGAGATGGTAACTAGCTGAAAATGTATAGGTAACTCTACAAGTCAGCTTAAAATTTTTTTTAAATATACACATGGAGTGTACAAGCATCCATGTCTACAGGCTTAGCCACAATACTTGAGTTCAAAGAATATCATGGACACATAATTACTAACATTTACACTCCCTTTATGTATTATATCCCACCTGAACCTGATTTTGGAGGACTTTAATATGTTGCACTGCCAAATCCAGCATATCGGCGTAGCTTGTTTGCTGCAATCACAATTTTTATAATTCAGATCACATATTAGATTGTGTGGTCAATATATTTATAGGTCAAAGTAAAGTATTGAATAGAGGTGATTGTTAGATCACCACTAGTTTTAAAAGCTTAAGTTGTTATGAAATTGGCCCAACAATTTATATCAAACTATCCAACACTCTTGCTCACGTACCACCCTGCCTTGCACGTGCAGATGCAAGGAGTCATACATAGAGAGAAGCATAATGCAAATGAGGAACAAATGTGAATGAGAGACTTGATCCCAAAACCTTCCTCAACTGAAGCTGTGATACCATGTTAGATCACCACAAATCTCAAAAGCTTGAGTTGTTAAGAAATGAGCCCAATAATGTATATCAAACTATCCAATAGTAATAGCATTCACGCTAACTAGTGGTCCTATATTATGGTATTTGGAATTCTTTCCACATCAACTTTAGATTTGTTCTATGTTATGCATTAAACAACAACAGAAGAATAAATGACTAGGATTTTCAGTTCTCCCATTGCTGCATCTTATGCCCCACATGTTGTACATTAGTGAATAAATGCTGCTTAAACATTATGACAATAAAACTCATCTTGTGTTCAGTCAATCTAATTATACTTCAAGTAAATTACACCTTATGTCACATCTGTCAAAAGAGACCCCCCCTCCAAAAAAAAAAAAAAAGGATTCACATCTCTCACTTTTTGAAATCTCTTTTGAAATTTGTCTTCACATCCCCAATGATTTCCATAAAATATTTAAGTCCTTTCCCTCTCAAGTAACAATGAAATCAGTAGCTTATCAATCGCTTATTAAGTTCTACTCGACTCAATAGCCTATAAAGAAACTTTATATTTTAGGGAATGACCAACTTGAAGAATATACAGATAATTTGCATTTGTGCATAATTTATCTATTTTAAATAGGACTGAGACAATGACACGCCATAAGAGACCCACAATGAGACAGTATCACAAAGAACTGTACAATAATAATCTTGTTCAATTGTAAGAGCATTAAGTTAAGACTATCATATAGATTAGACTCTGGAAGTAAAAAGAGCATTACGCTATTTTACCTTATCCAAGTTAGGGACAAGCTCTTGAAGATTCTTCAGCTTCCCGCTTATTCTAGTTCTTCTGTCCTGTACAACAAGCAGAAAAGGACAATGAATAGAGTTGAAATACACAGAGAACACAGAGAGCAGTAAACTGATGAATTTTGACCACATTATCATGTTGCTCATTGTGAATAAGAGCGAGTTATTTCTCTTTTACAAGTAGCAGTTAAGTGTGGTTTGTCATAGATGTTCAGTTCAGAAATTCCTGACATTTGTTATTGTTTATGCCATTGTAATCTCTATCACTGTTTTAGGCCCCAGGTAAATGTAACAGATTATAGAAATGGTATGGCATATGGTAAGCATACTACCAAGCCATGCACTGTCAAGTGTTCATGGTTATGTATCTTCTCATCATAGAGCAACATAAAGTAGATTTATTTTGAGTCTTCTTAACCTCTAATCCTTCACTTACTTTCTTTCTAATCTTTTTTTTTTTAATTATTATTATAGTTTGGGCAATTTGAGATGATCTAAAAGGGGGGAAAGAAAACATCATAGAAATCAAAGAAGCAAAGCGAAAAAAGCTATATATTTTGTTATATGTTATAGGTGAATTTAGGAAAGGAGGACAAACAGAACACAGTTTATTGATGCTTGAATAGTAACTTACAAGTGAAATTCCCAAGGGCCTAGATGAGGACTAGAATACTTTTCACACCAAATAAATGTTTAAAATACATCCAACTTAACATACTCTTAAGCAGGCATTAATTGACTGTAATGTAATCCATATTGTAATACTGTTACTTCTCACGTACAATGGTATGATAGTAAGTACTCTCCAAGGAGTTGACATTCACAAAAATAAAGAATAAAAATAAAAATAGAAGATCGAAAAAGAAGACCAAGTGATGATATGAATAAATATTGACAGTTTGGAACATGTCTTGATAAAAAAAAAAAAAAAAAAAAAATCAATGCAGACTACCCACAATAGAGCAACTTGACAATGCATTTGGATAATGGACATTAGATGACTCCATTGTTTTTATGTCAATATCAATGGTTTAGAAAATATCATAAGAACGTGGCTATTGATTCCATAAAGAAGTGTCCGTAAGAAAAAATTTATAAGTGGAGCAATTCCAAAAGTGTGGGAACCCAACCACAGCCTAAAGGCCTAAGAGATATTCATTGGAATTTTTACTCACTCTTTCGGCAATGCTTCGGGGGTGAGTAGCATAACCACGCTTGGCACGAATTTTGCAACGGACAGAGTCTTCAGGGATTTGTAGTAAATTCTCCATTGTTGACATCTCTTCATCTGTCTGGGGCAGACCAAACTGAAACTGCCATGGAAATGGATTTATTAGGCAAAAAGTTTATTTTTATTTTTTTAAATTTACATACTTGAAATTCAGGGAAATGATGTTGGATAAAACAAATTATTAAACTTACATACCAAACCTTATATAGAATATTATATAAGTTGCGAAAAACAAGATGTCAAGATCTAATTTGACTTTTGGTAGTTAAATGTAATTCTGTTGCATTATTTCCTAAGCTAAATCAATGTCAAAATCTAAAACACCCTGACAAAAGCACATTGCAATAAAACTCTCTATCATCTGAACTAAAGCAACGGGCCTTTTGGAAAACATGTTTTAATTTGTGCCTTCATTCTTTACATTCTTTTCCTTTTTCTATACTAGTTGTATTTGTACAGTGAGACACAGAAAATAAGTTACTTTCTCTGTCAGAAACCAAAATGTATTAATTTGGAGAGAAGAATAGTTTGTTGATGTTAATCCATACAAACTTGGTAAGTACATAACATTTAATGGAAAACATGGCCACTAGAAATCAGCAACAAAAGCAATTCAAATGAGCATGACACATTGAAAAATCATACTCTATTGGCAATACATTTAAACGTACTAAAATTTGGAATGTAACATTTTCTGTTGGACATAATCACTCTATTAAGTTACCAGAAATGTGAATTTTATGCTCTTAAATGTAGAGTCTGATGACCATTGGAGTTCATTATCTTCTAATTTCATTTGCTTCTGCTTAAACCCTAAATATTTGTTGTTACCTGTGATTCTAGACAATGAACAACGTCACTACTCATACTCTTGGCTCGTTTGCTAGATGAAGCAGAAAACACAATGGCATTAGAATCATCCCAAGAGCCCATCCCAAAACTAGGAGTGGCATAAGAATGAGCAGCTTTTCTGTGGCCATTATCTGTCCTGATGCCATTAGCAACATTCTCATTTTCTTCAGAGATATGAGAGAGAGAATCTTGTCTTGTGAAGCTCAATTGAGAATTCAACCTTGATATCCCATTGCCACTATGGGAAACTCCTTTGGAATTGTAGCGTCCTATCCCTCTTGTGACTGAAAATCCTGTTTTCACCCCCAATGAAATAAATCATGATCACAAGTAAATGACCAGGACAGCGAAAATAATGAAAATAACAAATACTAACTCTTTAACCATATGCACGGCCAATAAATTCCTTTGACCGAAAGCATAAAATAAGAAAAATGCAGTCAAATGACTGAAATAACAATCTTCTTGCTTCTTGGCCTCTGGCACTATAGTTTTCAAGTAAAACAGCATAGCAGTGTTCTGAGACTGGACCATTTGGCTGGAATTAGCATGTCCAACAAAAGTAGAAGAGTGGGATGCAGTCAACATTTTCAGTATAATTTTCCTTTTTTAAGTGGTGACAGCTTTCCCTTGACATCAAGTGGTCATGATGTAAGAGCTGGGAGGGTTTTGATGAGTGCAGTGGCTAGGGAAGGGCGGAGGAGGTTGTTGGGTGGGGTGGAGAGGGACGGGAGTGACAAGGGGGAGGTGGAAAGTGTGGCGGTGGTGGTACCCATGGCGGGAAGAATGGGGAGGGGGTAGGGGATAGCGAGAGAGGAAGTGGTCACCGACGGCAGATTGCCTCTGACTGGAGTGATAAGAGAGAAGAGGGCAGAGGAGTGGTGAAGGGTAGTTTTGTCATAAAAAGTTTTCATACCACTGCTTTGCAATTAATTTTCAAGATTCCATTTCTTTTGCGATTTTGGGGAACATGCCATTGAAATGCAATTACTTTTTGTTCCCTCCATTTTACGGCAATTTCCTAAAAAATAAAAAAATAAAAACTTATTTTATCAAAATATTAAATTTGACCAAAATAAAAAAATGCCAAAATTAATTGCTCTAGCTCTATATAATAATCTTCATGTAGTGACAAGTAGAGCACAAAGCAAATATTAAATTTCTAATTTCATCACTCTTTGAAAAAAATAAAAAAATAATAAGTTAGCTTCACCAGACTCGTTTTTGTGTTATTGCAAAAAATAAAACATCAAGGAAGGGATTCTCTTTATTTTTTATGTGCATGTCCTCCAAGAGGTTCAATTTCTTTTTCTGCTTTTGTATTACTGCATGTAAGTCCCTCCTATACTTGGAAAAGTTAAAAAATTTAACAATAAATTTTCCTTATTTTTCTTCTTTAAAATTTGGAAGATTTATTAGAAAATCATTTTTCAAGTATTTGTATCTCAATTAGTCCATAAGATATTCTTGTATTCCAATAAGTCCTATTATTTGAACATTTGATCTACCAAATCCTAATTGTCATATTTAAATGATTTTATGGACATTTCTACCCTTTACAAATATTTTTTGAATGATTAGCAATTTAGTTATGTGAACGTTCATATTTTACAATGTGAATATTCACATTGACGTGTGAATGTTCACATTGATAGTATAAACATTCACATTGACAGCGTGAATATTCGCATCGACAGCGTGAATATTCGCATCACAGAACATTCACGTTGTACATGTAAATATTATTAAGGGTATTTTAGTAACTGTGTCACTCATAAAACTTATTGGAATATAAGAAAATAATATGGACCAAATGAAACATAAGTAGATCAAAAAGAATTTATGGAAAAGTATCCCTTAAAATTTATATTTCAATTCCCAAAAAACTAAATTCAAAGAAATTAGGTAAACTTATGTGTCAAAGTTGGGTACACTCTAATTAAATTCATCTGCATTAATACATTCTAATTAAATTCTAGAAATGGTTGGAGTAACACCAATGACTATTCTCGTTGAATAATGCTATATGCACTAATTGGTATATCAATTAGTGTACTAACAAATGATGTGGCATAATTTTAAAAGTTTTGAATATTTATAATTGAGTTATGCTAGGGATTCCAAATATTCTACCAAATATTTTATCAAACCTCACATGGTGTGAGACCCACATACATGTGGATTTGTATAAATCCCACCTCATGTAAGAGATTCGGTAGAATATTTGATAAAATGTTTGAAATACATAGCATTTCTCTTTATAATTTGTATAATGATAGGGTCAATAATAATGTCATAACATTATTAATACACAAATTAGTATACCAATTAGTACATGTAACAGCACCGATTCCCGTTAACGCACTCTGGATCTGTTTGATTAACAAGATTAATAATGAAAGAATTAAGAGTTTATGAAATGAGTGTAGGATTAGCTCGACTAATGAATCTCTCTTATTTACGTTTATTTTGTAATATATATATAATCTCAATTATATATATATATATATATATGTTTTGCGTTATTATAAGCCCTAAAATTAAATTCCCTTTTTAGTCTGGAACTTTTAAATACACTCACCTAATTTTTTTACACCAATTGTAATGCTTGTACCCTAAGAAAAAGTCTGAAGTGTCATGAGAAATTTTAGCAAGTGTATTAGAAGCTTCCTCCCCCTTCTTGTCAAGTCAATGCCTATCCTAATGTACACCCTTGCTTTAAAGGTAAGTTTAAAAAAAAATAAAAATAAAGGTAGATAGATAATCCATTTATTAATTTTATTGATATAATTTGTAAAATAAAGAGTGGGATGGCATTGTCGAAACTGTGGGTGCTTTTTAAAAACCGGGAACACACGACGTATGGCAATACCATCATCGCCTTATATTTTAGTTAGCTTAGCCCTTCCTTTTTCCAGTTTCCCAATTTGCCACCGAGAAAGGCTACCGGGACAGGAGGGAAGTGTCTTTTTCAATAAATGGCAATTTGTACCAAATTGGTTTGGCTTTCTGGTTTTGGCAACTTAAAAGCAAGCTTACACTTTTGACAAGTGATTTTTTTAGTTAAAAAGTCAAAAATTTATTAAAAAAATCAAAAATTTAACAATTTATATAAAAAAAAGTCAAAAAATTTCTTTTTTCTCTACTTTTTACACATCTTTTCATAAAAAATCAAAAAAGTCATCCCAAACATACTAATTTTTTTTAGCTCATATTTTAACCAAATAACTAAAAAATTACTAAATTAACCTGTTCCTAAACGAGGCCTTATTAGTTTTTTTTTTCCCCTAAATTCTTTTGGTCACGCCATTTTCTTAATTTTTATTAATTTTTTTTAAAAAAATTAATTTTTAACACTCTTCTTAGAATAGGACTACCAACCCTTGATTTGATTTTGGGGGACTCTACCCTATCCTATCTAATAAGGATTTTCTGTCTATGAATAATTTTATTTTTATATTTCAAATTCCTCTTAATTATTGAATCATAAAAAAATTTTAAAATATGAAAATTTTAAGACATTCAATGGTTATAAATGATTAGAAACAGAAAGCAAGATTATTTGCGGTCAGAGATACTGGGCTACCCTACCCGACCCTTCCAAAGGGCAGTTATTTGCAAGGGTCTATTTCTGTCTCACAATACCATCATTAGGGCAAGTCAATCATGAAATGGGGCTAAAAATGTAATTTGAATGAAATAACATCCCCTCTATTCTACCAGTACAGTAGCACACATTGAGGAGAGGAGAGGAGAGGAGAGGAGGGAAGAGAGAGAAAGGAAACAGCATACCGTTATCAGGAGGAGGAGGAGGAGGAGGAGTTGTAGGAGGAGCTGTAAGAGCAGAAGTGAGATGATTGAGAAAGCCAGCAGGTGAGCTACTGTGACGAACCAAAGATCCAGCGGCACTGCTTTTGGGATTCAAATTAATGGAGGTAACCCTAGTAGTAGGGAAGTCGGAACCAACTTCAATCTCATTGAAACCGTAGGGTGTTGGTGTTTGTAATAAGCATCTAGTAGTGGTGGGCTCGTTTTTGTGGTCTTTGGGATCTGGAGGAGGAGGATTGGCCTTGCAAGTGGATTCGGATGTGTCGGTGGAGAAGTAGCGCGGGAGGGAGGAGGAGGCGATGAGGTTGAGATGTTGGGATCGGAGGGATGAGAAGTCGCGAGTGGCTCCCATGACAGAATCGACGGCGGAGGTGAGGAAGGAGCCAGGAGCTGAGTCGTAGCGGATGAGGCCACTGCCACTGCCACTGCCATTGGTGGGGACCACTGAACCCTGAGATGACGAAGACGACGACGATTGGTACATCTCTCTTCTTTCTCTTCTGATGCTGGTTGTTTTCTACCAGAAAGCTAAACACAGACAGACAGAGACAGACAGACAGAGAGAGAGAGAGAGGGGGAAGAGGAGAGGTATTAATGGGAAAGAAGAAACTTGGTTTTAAAATCGAGGAAATTATCCAATAGTACAAATAATTCCCTACCTCCAAGGGCACAATGTCTAAACTACGACTACTTATGTCCTGTGTGGTAGAGCTTTTATTTTTATTTTTATTTTTTATTTTTAAATTAAAATTTAATATTCAGAAAGTAAAAATTAAAAATATTTATTTCTTTAATTTCTAAATAATTAATTTTTATTAACTTATTTAAGTTATTTCTATCTAATAACTTATACATAAAAATTGTATCAAATAATCTGATATAAATTTTAAAATTAAAATAAGTTATAATCATCTCTTAAAATATATATCAAATAGCCCCAATGTCTAATAATTAAAAATTAAAAATATGCTTTAAACTGTATTTGGTTAGAGGATTTTGTTGAAAGAAATATAAATGAAAAATGAAATACAATTTCCCTTTTTATTTGGTTATAATAGAAAATATAAGAGAAAAGAAAGGGAAAATATATATAAAATTAAGTAAAATGTGAATATATTTTAGTTTCACACATATTTTTCATTTCTTTTTCTTTTTTAAATCCCTCTCTAAATCTATAAAACAAATAAAGCCTCGGGCTATTTATTTTTATATTTGCCAACTCAACTAAATATAACTTAAAATTTGAAATCTTATCAATTCTTTATCATTTTATTTTTATTTTCCTTTCCCTTTCAATTTTCCTCTAACTAAACATAGTTTTAGGCCTCGTTTGTGAATAAGTTTTTTTAGTAATTTTTTAGCTAAAATATAATGTAAAAATAATTAGTATATTGGGAATGACTTTTTAATTTTTTACGAAAAGATGTGCAAAAAGTAAAGAGAAAAGAGATTTTTTTTTGACTTTTTAGTATATGTTATTGACTTTTTGACTTTTTTATTAATTTTTTTATTTTTAAAATAAAAAGTTATATTGTCAAACGAGACCTTAGGAGGATATTGTATATATTTTGCTCCAACTTATCTCAAGTTATAACATTTATGGTAATAAGATCCTTTTCCGTCACAAGTAATAAAAAAAGAATAAATTACAAACACACCTATTGAGGTTTACTTAAATTATAAATTATCTTTTATGATTTTAAAAATTACATTATGTCTCTTAAGGTTTCTAATTTCATAACAAATAAGTTCTTTTATTAATAAATTATCAAGTTAATTAACAGTTTTTAATAATGTTAAAATTTTATTTCAATTAATAATTCAGATAATTTTATTATTGTATAGGAGAACTGTTAGAAATTTCACTTTTTTAATTAATTCTGTTAAATAAAAAATTCTGACAGGGGGGATATTTGTAATTTTTTAAACCACAGGAGCCAATTCATATTTTGAACAAATCTCAGAGATGTATTTATAATTTATTTTAAAATAATTGAGTCATGACCAAATAAAAAATATTTTGAATTATAATTAAAATAATATTATAACTAATTGAAGTAGCTCCCCATAACTGAAAATTACAAAAGTTGTAACTAAGGTACATGATACACCCTCCAATAGAATTTTCTTTTCGTAATTTCATTTTATTATATCCCTCTCAATTATTTTTTATTAGAGTAAATTACACTTTTCACTTTTAAAATTTAATTTAAATTTTATTTTTAACCTTATTATTTTAGTTTGAATAATTTGATATTACGCTTTAAATCCAGTCTCAATTTAATTATTTTGTTCAAATAATTATTAGTTTCTTCTACACGTATATAGGAGAAATTTGAAACTTATTTTAAAATTGTTAATATTAACAATCTAATTAAAATTAGACTTAAAATATAGTAACTAAATCGTTTAAATTGAAGTAATGGGATATTAAAATAAAATTTGAGCCAAATTAAAATATTAAAATTACAAAAAATACCTACAAAACCTACAACTTTCTTCGAATATTTTTCTTCATTTGTAAAATGAAAAAAACATCAGAAATAGTTAAAAATGTCACTAATTTTTTATTTTGTGAAGAAACCCAATTTTTTAAAATTTCCTCAAGATAATTTGATTGAATGCAGTAGTTTGATTTTGCATAAAATCAAAATTTCAACTCTTTTTCCAATTAATTTTAATGGGACTACTTCAATAAGAGACCCTTGAAAATAAAGTTTTTAATCAAAAAATTGATATATGACAAAAAATAAAAGAAAGATAAGAACAAATGGAAATATCGATCTGGTTGACCCTTTGAAATTACATCATCGTCAATTTTTTATTTTTTTTACAAACGCAGTTTTATGACTTATGTTTCAAATTTGAAATACCCCAACAATTATCTTTTTATTTCAATTAAAATTGAATTAGTGGCAATAGTGCGAGAGTCACGCGACAATTTTTGTTAACAAATTTAACACCAAATTAACAAAAAAAAAAAAAACCACATTAAACTAGCTTATAACTTACAGTCAAAGGGGCTAAAATTGAACAAAGAGATTTGAAAAATTATACTTCACTGGCTGGTAAAATATTATATGCTTCAATAATTAAAGAGATTCGAAAAGTGTACTTCCATTGATTATATGCTTCAATAATTAATCAACTAGTTGTGCAAGTAGTCATAACACCTTGTTTTAAGACCATGGGGAGCCGTAAGACAAGACAAACCAACATCATTTTTTTTGATAATTAGGTATCCGATCAATTTGCGCGCAATTCAATTATCCCCAAGACCCTGAAATTAAGCTTCATTTGAGAACATACTAATTTAATAACTTTTGACTAAAATATGAATTCAAAAAAATTAGTATGTTTAAGATGACTTTTTAACTTTTTATGAAAAGATGTATAAAAAATAAAGAAAAAAAAGAACCTTTGACTTTTTAATATGAATTATTGACTTTTTGACTAATTTAGTAACTTTTTGACTTTTTAACTAAAAAAGAAGATTCCCAAAGGAGGCCTTAATGATCAGATAAGTCAACATCTCATATATATCAATAAGCTTTTGCTTTTACCTCAACTGCCCTTCTCTCAACTTCAGAGAAAAATAAGAAAACCCAGAAAAGAAGTAAAAAAATATCTAGTTTTAGGCTTTTCCTAAGCTGTTTTTGGGTTCAAAAAAGCCTAAAAGTCATAATCCTAAAATGTTAAACTTTAATAGATTTTTTAAAGTTCCAGACTTAACACAAATAAATAATTTTAAAAAAATCACTGAGGCAAATGAATTTCCCAAAATTAATTTCTTGAATAGTTTTTACACAAATGTTACCAAACCAAACCAACTCTTCTTGTATCCCAGATAATTAAGGTCAGTTATTATTGCAACCTCAACACCTCTGAGTCTATCCATTACACCATTGACCCCTTTGTGTCCCCCTATAAAAACAAAACTGGGAAAGGGAATCTGCAAATTGGAACATTTAGTCCCTGGCATTTTTCTGGATTCTCTTATTTAGTTTGTCTTGCTCACGGTACCTTCCACGCCGTTCTTCTCTCTGCCGCTTCTTTGAAATCTGCTCGTCTTTGGCTTTCTCCACTTCATGCATTTTCCTCCTCCCCATCCTTAAGCTTTTAAAATTTAATATTCAGAAAGTAAAAATTAAAAATATTTATTTCTTTAATTTCGAAATAATTAATTTTTATTAACTTATTTAAGTTATTTCTACCTAATAATTTATACATAAAAATTATATCAAATAGTTTGACATAAATTTTAAAATTAAAATAAGTTATAATCATCTCTTAAAATATATATCAAATAGCCCCAATGTCTAATAATTAAAATTTTAAAATATGCTTTAAACTGTATTTGGTTAGAAGATTTTGTTAAAAGAAATATAAATGAAAAATGAAATATAATTTCACTTTTTATTTGGTTATAATAGAAAATATAAGAGAAAAGAAAGGGAAAATATATATAAAATTAAGTAAAATGTGAATATATTTTAGTTTCACACATACTTTTCATTTCTTTTTCTTTTTTAAATCCCTCTCTAAATCTATAAAACAAATAAAGCCTCAGGCTATTTATTTTTATATTTGCCGACTCAAATATAACTTAGAATTTGAAATCTTATCAATTCTTTATCATTTTATTTTTATTTTCCTTTCCCTTTCAATTTTCCTCTAACTAAACATAGTCTTAGGCCTAGTTTGTGAATAAGATTTTTTAGTAATTTTTTAGTTAAAATATGATGTAAAAATAATTAGTATATTTGGAATAACTTTTTAATTTTTTACGAAAAAATATACAAAAAGTAGAAAGAAAAGAAAATTTGTTTGACTTTTTGGTATATGCTTTTTGACTTTTTTATTAACTTTTTTATTTTTAGAATAAAAAGTAATATTACCAAACAAGGCCTTAGGAGGATATTGTATATATTTTGCTACAACTTATCTCAAGTTATAACATTTATGGGAATAAGATCCTTTTCCGTCACAGGTATTAAAAAAAAGATAAATTACAAACACACCTATTGAGGTTTACTTAAATTACAAATTATTTCTTATGGTTCTAAAAATTACATTATGCCTCTTAAGGTTTCTAATTTTATAACAAATAGGTTCTTTTATTAATAAATCATCAAGTTAATTAACAGTTTTTAATAATGTTAAAATTTTATTTCAATTAATAATTCAGATAATTTTATTATTGTATAGGTGAACTGTTAGAAATTTCATTTTTTTAATTAATTCTGTTAAATAAAAAATTCTGACAGGAAGATATTTGTAATTTTTTAAACTACAGGAGCCAATTCATATTTTGAACAAATCTCAGAGATGTATTTGTGATTTATCTTAAAATAATTGAGTCATGACCGGATAATAAAATATTTTGAATTATAATTAAAATAATATCATAACTAATTGGAGTAGCTCCCCATAACTGAAAATTACAAAAGTTGTAACTAAGGTACATGATACACCCTGCAATAGAATTTTCTTTTCGTAATTTCATTTTATTATATCCCTCACAATTATTTTTTACTAGAGTAAATTACACTTTTCACTTTTAAAATTTAATTTAAATTTTATTTTTAACCTTATTATTTTAGTTTGAATAATTTGATATTACGCTTTAAATCCAGTCTCAATTTAATTATTTTGTTCAAATAATTATTAGTTTCTTCTACACGTACATAGGAGAAATTTGAAACTTATTTTAAAATTGTTAATTTTAACAATCTAATTAAAATTAGACTTAAAATGTAGTAACTAAATCGTTTAAATTGAAGTAATGGGATATTAAAATAAAATTTGAGCCAAATTAAAATATTAAAATTACAAAAAATACCTACAAAACCTACAACTTTCTTCGAATATTTTTCTTCTTTTGTAAAATGAAAAAAAACATGAGAAATAGTTAAAAATGTCACTAATTTTTTATTTTGTGAAGAAACCCAATTTTTTAAAATTTCCTCAAGATAATTTGATTGAATGCAGTAGTTTGATTTTGCAGAAAATCAAAATTTCAACTCTTTTTCCAATTAATTTTAATGGGACTACTTCAATAAGAGACCCTTGAAAATAAAGTTTTTAATCAAAAAATTGATATATGACAAAATAAAAGAAAGATAAGAACAAATGGGAATATCGATCTGGTTGACCCTTTGAAATTACATCATCGTCAATTTTTTTATTTTTTTTACAAATGCAGTTTTATGACTTATGTTTCAAAATTGAAATACCCCAACAATTATCTTTTTATTTCAATTAAAATTATATTAGTGGCAGTAGTGCGAGAGTCACACGACAATTTCTATTAACAAATTTAATACCAAATTAACAAAAAAAAAAAAAAAACCACATTAAACTAGCTTATAACTTACAGTCAAAGGGGCTAAAACTGAACAAAAGATTTGAAAAATTATACTACCATTGGCTGGTAAAATATTATATGCTTCAATAATTAAAGAGATTCGAAAAGTGTACTGCCTTTGATTATATGCTTCAATAATTAATCAACTAGTTGTGCAAGTAGTCATAACACCTTATTTTAAGACCATGGGGAGCCGTAAGACAAGACAAACCAACATCATTTTTTTGATAATTAGGTATCCGATCAATTTGCACGCAATTCAACTATCCCCAAGATCCTAAAATTAATGATCTGATAAGTCAACATCTCATATATATATATATATATATGTATATATCAATAAGCTTTTGCTTTTACCTCTACTACCCTTCTCTCAACTTCAGAGAAAAATAAGGAAACCCAGAAAAGAAGTACAAAAATATCTAGTTTTAGGCTTTTGCTAAGCTGCTTTTTGGTTCAAAAAAGCCTAAAAGTCATAATCCTAAAATGTTAAACTTTGATAGATTTTTTAAAGTTCCAGACTTAACACAAATAAATAATTTTAAAAAAATCACGGAGGCAAATGAATTTCCAAAAATTAATTTCTTGAATAGTTTTTACACAAATGTTACCAAACCAAACCAACTCTTCTTGTATCCCAAATAATTAAGTCAGTTATTATTACAACCTCAACCTCTGAGCCTATCCATTACACCATTGATTCCTTTGTGCCCCCCTATAAAAACAAAACTGGGAAAGGGAATCTGCAAATTGGAACATTTAGTCCCTGGCATTTTTCTGGATTCTCTTATTTAGTTTGTCTGATTCTCTTATTTAGTTTGTCTTGCTCACGGTACCTTCCACGCCGTTCTTCTCTCTGCCGCTTCTTTGAAATCTGCTCGTCTTTGGCTTTCTCCACTTCATGCATTTTTCTCTTCTCCTCATCCTTAAGCTTTCGCTTCTTCATCTGCACACCAGGCAAATGAACACACAAACTTAAAGCTAAACAACATAATAAAGGAATTTTAGATTCACTTTGCACATGTTTTTTGAGGATATGAACTCCGAATGAAATCAAAGAAAAACAACACAACAATAAAAAAAGAAAACGCAAATCCTCGTGTGCATTGTTTATTTGAAGCTGTGAAGTAAGCACACATTATTCAGTTTTAAAGATCCTGAGTGAACTTGAATCAAGCTTGAGCCCCATGAAATTGACTAAATAGCTGCCCAATGTCAATTCTTGGTTTTTTTGTTGCCCAATATTATCCAAGAAAAAAGTTGACAGCATGCATTCTTATACCAAGGTATTTCCACGTGTTGGATTATCCATATAATCATTCAACAAGGCCTAACTACTCAACTGTCAAACTGTACCCTGAACCAAGCAAGCAAATATAGGAATAGTTTCTTAGATTCTAAAACAACTCATCAAATACAAGGACTAAAGGTACCACCAATACAAGTGCAACACCACCATGAAATAAAGATGCCAGAGTTCTCACTTCCTGGGGACCTCCATAGCATCCAGTTATCAGACTCCAACCCTTTATTGTATCAAAACTAAATGCTTACCATCACAACCTCCAATTAATTCCAATGTGTTTGACCAATCACTGCTTCCATCACTACTTTGACCAACACCTAATTGACAACCATTGCCAATGCACTCACTTAGAATGTCAATTAATCTCAATGTCAGTTTGTAAACACTATTTTACCCTATATATATATATATATAGTGTTTCCAAAAATATAAAATCTAGCTGAATCCTAGTGTCCTTGGACATGAAAATTAAATAACTCCGGCACTTAGACACAGATCCGCAGCTAAGTCCATGTAACATACTGGGGAGTAAGCAGAATGCATAACTGTATTTCCATACAAAACCAGTCAAGAGGTTCAGATAATGTTTCAGTCTTAAAAAACTTACCTTCTCATGCCTAATCAAATGATAATGTTGAACAAGAGCATGGACTTTTCGCTCATGAGGTTCCATGACGACAGCCCTCCGACGTTCATAAAGTGGACGCCTCCGACTAGGAATATCCTTGGGCTTTGAGGCAAATGGCAGAGCTGCCTGTAATGACTTAGAAATAACCAATGGGTTGAACTTCTTTTGCTTCCTCTCAATTGGCTGTTGAAGGGAAAACAACACGAGAAAACACAATTCGAGAGATTAATAATTTGCCAAAGAACAACCAAAGAAAGAAAACTAGTGCTAATATAATCTCTGGGCCACATGAGGAATTACCTTGTACAGTGAATCCTTGTTTAGTGGTAAAGGAAGATTGTGTTCTCTCCTTAATTCGGTCACTGTTTTCATTCCTCGCCAGGTCTGGTCACGAGGTTGCAAGGCTGTTGTCAACGGGTTGTAAAAGCGAGGAACCTCAACTTGAGTCCATGCACGCAAGAAAACAATATCGCTCATCAGAATTCTATCCTCAAAGGTACACCTTGCAATCCCTTCTTTAGGATGTCCTCCCTTCCTTTTGGGTTGGTTACCAATCTCTTCTTTTGCAGCCTGCCCAGAATAATGTCATTGAAATTAATCAAACTTCACATGTAGTCCACAATCTTTTATCATTATGCAATAATTTAAGGGAAAAGGATAAGTTAAGCTATAGCAAAGTTGAATTTACATAGTAGTTACATATAACAAGCAAATGCATCCGATACAAACCAGCAGGAGATTGTAAGAAAGAATTGAAACAAATTTGATTTGTATGACAAACAAGCTTACCTTCTTCACCTGCCCACGAATTCCACTAACAGTTCGAATGGCTGCACCTTCAAACCTGGCTATTTCAAGATCTGAAGTGAACATGTCCTTGATAAGAGCCGTCTTCTTGAAGATCTTGCATGGGTGACCAACTAACTTGATCTTTTTAACTATTCGTGTTGCATGGTTGAACTCCAATACTTGTGCAGTTGCGGTGATCCTAAATGCTGCCTGCAAATGTGCACCACACCCGAAGTAGAGAATTATTAGAAAATCATATTATAAAATGCAAACGCAAAAGTAGCATTAATATGTTTAATATGCAAACCAAACACAATGAAGGATAGCCCTAAATTTAGTTTATTTCCTTAAAAAGAGTGGCAACTAAAGCATGATGCTTAACACATTCCTAACCAGCAAAGAATCATACCAATTAATACACATGAATTTGGAGAAAGAGGACTCTGAACAGATTACATGGCTATCTTACAAGGATTAATGAACCAAAAACTTTATCAGAGAAAACTAGTTATGTTGTGGTACTCATAGCCATAAAAGAGAAGAAACAGAATGCTTCTCCATCCAAGACCAGTATAATTATACCAAAAATCAAACAAGTTCTTGCTACATGACCGATAGCAAGATTATCAGAACTCAACTAAACATTGTTTCCCCATACTAAATGAGGAAAGCCTATAAATAGAAATGAAGTTTAAGTAATAAGATGTGCAATGTAACAAGTTGAACACTTGATTTACAGTTATTATTTTATATTTCAATTGTCCATTAAAATTGAGGGGAGAGAGAGAGAGAAATGAAAGAAATATCTAACCTGATTGTTTGATAAATTTTGAACAGCTACTATCCCTGTGTGTGGAGGTGCAAGAGGACCCCAAAACATGGCAAGACAATGCATGTGTTCAGGAGTGTACTTGAGCATACGATGCCGTCCATTGTGGTCCTCAATGGCATAAACAGGTGTAGTTTGGTAGCGCCTCCATCCAATAGAAACAATTATTGGATCTCTAGTCTTTAGTACTTTTTTGTGCCATCTATGCCGCTTTAATCGCGCCTGAAATGAGGAAAAAAGAAAAGGAAGTTTTCTTAAAGTGGAAGGGAGTAGAGGTGAGAGATCAGATGCCAAAAATCATATTATATTGAGTACATTAAACTGAAATGGTTATAGGTGGACCATAGAAGACTATTTTAAACCTGAATCGAATGTCATGCACAATGTGATTAAACTTCATAAGCCCCCCAAAACCTAACATTGGGTTAATGACACAAAAAGAAATAAATAAATTGAGGCTTCGCTGCAGTGCTCTTTCTAACCTGCATGTATCCAACATTTTGCTCCCCAAGACCAATTCCTCCAACAAGAACAGGGTGGTAGGGATCAAAATATTCAACGATTTCAAACGGGACATCATGGACTTCCAATCTTAGGTAAGTTCCAGTTCGATAGCCCTCTATTTCTAACCGAGTGGCCTCATCAAGATCATTGAGTTCGGCTATATTCATTTGTTTCCGAAGTTCAATCTCCTCCTTCAGCTGCAAGAAACATCATAAGTTGCTACAAACTTTTCTCAAACAATAAGCAAAAATAAAGAGAATGAACACTTTCAAAAATCTATAAATTAAATGAAAGAAACACGACGTCATTGAAAACTCCACCATCACAAAATTCTAAAATTAAATAAAAGAAAGTTTACCTTATCAAAAAATCCACCTTCACTAGCTTGACCTCGGTGAAACTTGCCACCATGTTTGGTATCAGTATCCTCATCAGGAGATTCAGACCCATTATATGTATATTTGAATTAAGGTTGTAAAAAATTACAAATTTTCAAATGCTTTGGCACACACATGAACATAAATAGGAAAAGAATGGGAAAATAAAACCAAGATGCTTAAATAAAATCACAATGACAATAAGCAGTCATGCATGGGATAATAATGCAAGATCATTCAAACAATCTTATTTCCATAGTGGCTCATGAACCAGCATTATGATAATCAACATTATCATGAAATAAAAGAGGGAGAAAATTGGAAGGGGGCAAAAATATGATAATCTTTCAAGTGAAGGATATTGAGCATCAAATTTTGCACGCAAAGCAAGCTTCTTAATCCTCCGCTCTTCAATTTTGGTGTCATCATCCTTTTGGGAATCATCATCACCAGCATTACTCTTCTGGTGGCTCTCATACTTCTCACCTGTTTCCAAGTCTTCAAACTCTCCAAATACATCATCATCATTGTCTCCTATAGCTTCTGATGCATGACTGCGGTGAGCAGCCTTTGACCAGTCTCCAGTGACAAAGCGATCACGAATGCTTTCAATTGACTCTTCTATTTTCCAGTTCTTAAGACTTGTATGATTTGTGAACTTGGAGCAATCATCAACATTGACAATGTCACCATCCACACCTCCACTTGATTTCTGCAATAAGTTGAATACCCTTCTTAACGAAGCATAAATTACAGAAATCGTTCACAAGTTGTGCATTCATACTAATGTTCAAAAATATTAAAATTTAATTACTTAAAAAATTATTACAATTACTAGGAGAGCACCTCAATGCTTCAAGAAAATTGGAAACCTTAATATTAAAAGATCCTAAAACAAACCTTATTGCCCTCTCCTTTTGGCTTAAAGAATTCATCATCCTCACTTTCTTCATCCTCACTGTTAGCTTGAGCATCATCAACAGTAGTAGCCATTGTTGCAGATTTCCCATATACAAGTTGCATCAGATTATCATTCTGTCTCAATATGGTCCTTTCTGTCAAGGAATCTTTCCATTTTGAAGCATTTCCCATCTCATCTTCTGTAAGGTCAATCATTTTAAAATAGAATGAAATTATCAGAAAGAAAGAAAAGTCTTCCTGCCCACCACACAATTTCAGGAATTGGTTGAAAAGGAAGGTGGAATCATATTTTGAATTTTATTTTGATTTGAGCACCTTTTGCTATCACTCTTGCATTGCTTCTTCCAGCAAGTCATATAACCCTACTTTATTATTTTTTGAAACCATATATCCCTAATTTATACAATCACATCCATTCATAAGGTGAGAACTATAGCTTTCCAATACCCAAATACCTATAAACACCCAAAAAATGAAAAAATAAAATAAAATAATCATCCATCAAAAAATGTACCATTTGCATCATGATCCTCCCCATCCTCTGAAAAATCTGAATGAAGAACACCGTCTTCATCTTCATCTTCATCTTCATCATCACCCAAATCCTGCAATAGGTGAATATATGTATAAGATAGAAACAAATTTGATATCAATATCCAGATTTTAGAACTTGTAACTCAAATGTAATTGAGTTCTCAAGTACACAAGTCAAATTCAAAATTAAAACACCATTGCAGTAAGCCAAAGAAGTATATAGAAATTAGTTTGTAGTTTTTTTTAAGTCCACATTTTACTCCCTGTAACACACAATTTTTATACGTAGATCACGTAAATTAACAACGTAATCCCCCTCCCCCAACCAAATGAACAGTTCGTACGAGTGCATCTGCATAGCAACACTTTTTTTGAGAAGTCTTTATTTTATTTATTTATTTTTTTGTGGGTATATTTCAAGAAGCATCTCTCCACCCCTCTCATTCGTAATGCATATATATTCACCTATAAAAGTAGATACTATTCCTTGCTCTGAAACCCGACAAAAATAAAACCAGATTTGAAATTTAAAATAAAATAAAAACAAAAGTAAGAAAAACATCAACACTCAAAAAACACAGAAGCAAAATAATAATAATAATAATAATAATAATAATAATCTTTTTTTACAAGTAAAGTAATTTGTGCATATTAAATAAAATCATCAAAATGCGATGCTGCCTATGTACAAACCACTAATACCACGCACAAAAAAAATAAAAAATAAAGGTGGAAGCACTAGAAAGATTTCCAATAGCACAAAATACATCTGAGTTTTTGTTTTCTCACATATTTCAGCGGAGATCAGAAGGGTTGTGCGTTCACATTCATAAAAGGCAACAAGCAGAGATAATGAGCAATTAGAGAAATAGTTCTTTGACATCTATCCTCCCTCCTTCCACTACAAACACAAATAATCCAATTAAACAAACAAAAGCTACCTTCAAATGATCATGATCAGCTTCATCTCCAAAGACAGCTTTTCTCCTCATCCTTCCATCATGGAACTCAATATGTTCCTTTCGGTTATTTTCATTATTATTTTCTTCATCAGAATCATCATCCAGAGTTTTCATTGTTAGATCCTCTTGAAGGATTTTATCTTCGTCTGAAATTTCTAAACCATCTAGATCCTCTGCATCACTTTCCTTATCAGAATCATGCTCTGCAGGCTCAACACCATTAATTTGATCAACAGATCTGTGAGCATCCTCTTGATCGCTTGAAGCTTTTGATATATTAACCTTCTTTCCAAAAAGAGTAATGAAGCTTTTATCTAACTTCTCATCAATTGAATATTTTGTGTTCTGAAGTGATTTCACCAAAACCTCACCAACATCTCGGTCCTTTCCTGAAATAGAGGAAAATAACATTTTAGTAGATGTTTACCAATTTACCTTTTATGTAACAGAATCATCATTACATGAAAACAAAATAACAAAATAAAGAAAAATAAATATGGACCATAAAATTGAATATCTTCCCAATCAATAAGCATTAAAAAGACAATTTTAATAACCAACTGGCGCAAGCTCAGTGAGCCAGAACCTCTACACCTAGGAGGTCAAGGGTTCCAGTCTTGCCCCATCAAGAGACTTCCCTCCTCCCAGGCAATTGACTCCGATTTACCAAAACAAAAACAGAAAAAAAGAGAGACAAGTTTAATGATGGCCTCTAGTACCACATTATATAAGAAGGTCAACTTCACAAACTTTGCAATGACAAAATAAATATGTACAAAAATATAAAACAACATATAGACCTTTGTGTGTCACTCCTCCATTTTCATCAACTTTAGAAAACTGCACGAAGTGGTCATTTATGTTTATGTAGACAGCATCCTTGTCATATAGGAGATCCCCAAGTCCAGACATAGGTGCATAAAATAGCTTCTCCTTGTCCCGCAGTCCCTTCTTTTTGGCAGCCGAAGGTAAAGGACAAGGATCTGCGAGGCTTGTAATGCCAGCTAAATTGTAATCACCAACACCAGCAATATGCACCTGATAACATAGTACAGATTAGATTACATATATAGAACACATGGAACCAAGAAAAATTTGAAATCATACTTGACATAATTTTTTAAGGGTGAACAACAGATAAAAGGTCTTATAAATGAACATGAAAATGAGGTGTGACCCTCAGCAGCAAGGAACCATAATGCAGATGCTGCTGAGTGAATCTTCTTCTTCTTCCTTTTTGTTTCCCCTCTAATGTAATGCTAATTCAGTCCATTACAAATTTGTACATGCATGTAACAAAATTGTAAAACAAGGAGGACACACAGCAACTGGCACACCTCATCAACAAAATTTATATGGTGCAAAACTGAGGTGATCAACTTGGTAATTCATTTAATAAATATATTTAAAGAAAGAAACAAAAAAATGAGGTGATTAGCTGATTTTGGACATCAATTTTACCACTCTCTCATTTGGATAAAAATTTTTGGACATCAAAATATCACTATAATCCCGTAGATGACTTCAACAAAGGAAAAAGTTAGCTAAACTTTGTAAAAAATGCAACAGGAAAATTGGACATACAAAAATCATTTTAAGTAAACCAATTTAATAGTTATCTAGAATACACATTTTTCTATTTCCTAATGTTGCACTACATAAACCAAGTCTAGCAGATTTCCGTTTCAAGGAGTGACCAACAATATTGTTCCAAAGAACTCTTCCATCATTAGAAATTCAAAAACACAAAAGTGATAATATAATGAAAAGGTTAGATATACGTGCCTTAGTTCCTTTCTTCAAATTACATCCACGTAAATAACCATATAAAGTGACATTTCTATTGCATTTATTATCCATATGCACCCTTTCTGGAGGAGTGACATCTTCAAAACGATCTACCAATACATAAGGATGGGTAGTGCGCCAAGACAAAGGATGAAATTTCATAACAGAAATGAACCTTGCAAGATTGTGAACCTCACGTTTAGCATACCTGTTCAATCAGAAAATGGATCATAAATCTAATGAGTATTCTGTTAAGGTATTGATTATTTAATTACAAGATAGAAGTGAACTTGCAGATTTCAGAACAAGAGGCAGTCAAATACTTACTTCCCATGAATAAGACCAGACAAATAGAATAGTTTAGCTCCATCATATATTTCGGTCCAGAATCGATGCTTGAGGCGCTGTTTTGTTTTTTTAAGTTTCTTTACATCCTTGAACTTATCAAGATGTGTAAGAACTCCCATTATTTTAGGGAATCCATGATTTTGCAAAATATTAAGGAACTCAAAAGTTTCCTGCAAGAACAAAATACCCCATTACACCAGACTTACTATATAATAATAATAATAATAATAATACTTAGATCAGATGAGCCAGACCAACAAAAATGTCCATAAATTCAGAATAAATTGCGAGTGAAACAGTTAAAATAAGAATGGATAAGTTGGGGAGGGAAAAAAAATTAAAAACAAAATAGAATAAATTACGGATCACGGGCATTGAACAACACCCATCCAATGATTTTGACGAGCTTCAAAAATCCGTAAACTTTGTAGTTAACAACCAATCAAATTTGATTATTGTTAGAATAGTTCTTTTAGTTATTTTTGTTCTCTTGTTAATATTTACTTAAGTTGAGGGTACGATGGTCATATTGCTACTTTAGGTTTTTTATATATATTTGAGTGATGTACAGTTGAGAGAATTAATTGGTTTTTAATATATACAAAGTTCTCTCTTCTTCTTCTTCTTCCTCCTAACTTTCAACCCTAATTTCTCCATTTTACATTCTCACTTGGTATCAGAGCAATCTCTTCTTCATTAGAAAGGGTTCTACAGATTCTAAAGATCGATCTGAGGTGACCGAGACGTGCTGATGTCATCAGCCGTACGATGACGTCAGCAGTGTACGGACGGGTCCTTCACCCCTAGACTCGAAATTGCCTCCTGAGATTTATGGTGATTTTTGTGGAATTTTTTGATCATCCCTGATGTGAGTTTTCGATTTTTGAAACTATTTCGTGTTTTTGGGACTGTTTTTTTGAATCTGCCTTTGGGACTATTTTTTTCTGGTTTTTCTTGCTGGGCTCACTTCCCTAGGAGCCGAAAATCACCCCTCTAAGGGTCCTTGATCTTAATTTGTTGTTTTACTTCTGTGGGGTTGATATTCTGTTCAATTTGTGGCTGTTTCTGGAGCCGAAAATCACTTGTGGCTGTTTCTGGAGACGAAAATCACCCCTCTAAGGGCACACCCTTCTAGCAAGGGATATTTGTCCTCTCTTTATTGATTGCTACTGTTGAGTTGATGTGTTGGTCTCATTTGGGTCCAAACTTGGTTGTTGAGCTAGTTCTGTGTTTCTAGTGGTGATTGTGGGTATTGACTGTTTGCAAGTCTGGTTGATCATTATGGTTGAGATTGAGGCTAAGGCTATAACTATGGGTAAAGATGATGATATGCCTAAATCTATCACTACAAAGAAATTGAATGGTGCTAATTATTTGGCTTGGGCCCATGCTGTTAAGATTTTCTTACGAGGTAAAAAGAAGTCCCGCTATCTTAGTGAACTCCCTCCTTCTACTGATGATAAGGATTATGATGATTGGTGTTGTGAGGATTCTTGTGTGATGGGTTGGATTTGGCATAGTCTGGAACCACAGGTTGCTACTACCGTGGAATTTTGTGATACCTCTAAGGCCATTTGGGACTCCCTTGCTGAGTCTTTTTCAAATCAAAGTAATGTCTCTCAGGTCTACGAGTTATATGAACAGATTTTTGCTATGCGTCAATCTGGCCGGTCTCTTCCTGATTATTATAGTAGTCTCAAGACTTTGTGGGATCAGTTACTGCAGCATCGACCTTTCACTACTGATGTGACCACCCAGAAACAACATTGGGAGGAGTTTATGATGGCTTCTTTACTTTCTGGCTTAGATCCTGAGTTGCGAGGGTTCAAAGATCAGATTCTTGCCAGTGACACTCTACCTTCAGCTGCCAATGCCTATTCTAGGCTGTTACGCTCTTCATTGGGACAAGCACAATCCACTGCTGGGTCCTCTTCTTTATCATCTTCTGCATTGGTTTCTAGTAGTGGTGATCATGGGTCTACTCGCGGGGGTTTTCATAGTTCTTCTGGTTCCCGGAGCTCTTCTTCTGGTTCACGGGGCTCTCGTGGAGGTGGTTCTCGTAGTGGTGGCTCACGTGGTGGTTTCCGTGATGGAAGTAGTAGTGGACCTGGTTCTCCTATACGTGGCGATCGCAAGTGTACTCATTGTGGTTCCCAAGGTCATACTGAACCTTGGTGTTGGCAAAAGCATGGCAGACCTGATCATGTCCATCAGGTTATGGATGTCCCCTCCTCACAGTCTTCCTTGTTGTCCATTGGCTCGGATGCTTCTCCTGGTACTTCGCATGAGACACTCACTACTCAAATTAGTGAGCTTACTGCCCTTGTCCAGTCTCTCCGGCCTAGTCTACCTTCTTCCTCTACTGCTACCATGGCTAGTTCAGGTAATATTGCATGTGTGGCTAAGTCCTCTCAGCCTTGGCTCCTAGACTCTGGTGCTAGTTCTCATGTCTCTGGTAATTCCTCTCTTTTTGATACTCTTAGACCTGTTGATCATACCACTATGTCGCTGGCTTCAGTGATGCTGATTGGGCTGGTAATACGACTGACCGCCGTTCCACCTCAGGCTATTGTACTTTTGTTGGTGGTAATCTTGTCACTTGGCGTAGCAAGAAACAGACCGTCGTTGCTCGTTCTAGTGCCGAGGCTGAATATCGCGCCATGGCTCATACTGCTTCTGAGATGCTCTGGGTTCAGTCTCTTCTCCAAGATTTTGGCTTTTCTGTTTCCACTCCTATGCGCATGTTTTGTGACAATCAGGCTGCTATCTTCATTGCCAATAACCCTGTGTTTCATGAACGCACCAAACATATCGAAGTTGATTGCCATTTTATTCGTGATCTCTTACTCCGCAAGCAACTGGTGACTCCTTATGTTCGTTCTGAGGATCAATTGGGTGATATTCTCACCAAACCTTTGGCTCGGCCTTCATTTCTTCGTTTGTCTGCCAAGCTGGGCATGTTCGATCTCTATGCTCCAGCTTGAGGGGGAGTGTTAGAATAGTTCTTTTAGTTATTTTTGTTCTCTTGTTAATATTTACTTAAGTTGAGGGTACGATGGTCATATTGCTACTTTAGGTTTTTTATATATATTTGAGTGATGTACAGTTGAGGGAATTAATTGGTTTTTAATATATACAAAGTTCTCTCTTCTTCTTCTTCTTCTTCCTCCTAACTTTCAACCCTAATTTCTCCATTTTACATTCTCACTATTATTATTGCCAGAAAGAAAATTATAAATATGCAGGTTAGTGCATCATTTTACCAATAGAACAAGAGCATTTGCCATTGAATGCTAAAAACACACTTGCTATTCTCTAAGCCTAGGCACAAAAACAAAACAAAACAAAATAAAATAATTTCCAAAATAACAAAATCACATATGACTTGATACTTGCTTATAATAATACAGAAGTGGGTTAAAAAATTTCTTAGTGGTAAAGTAATATGCCAATAAGACCTCACCATTTCAAAACCATAACTTCCATCAATGAGAAGCAGAGCTAGATCAGCAAACTTTGCAGCATCAATCATGCCATTAATATCATTTGGGCACTCCACAAATTGTACACGCCTTTGCTTCCCTAAAAAAACAAAAAAATTGACAAACCACTTCTACCTCAACCGGTGAATACAAGAAACCCTGTGAACATTTCCAATCCTTCACCAATTCTTTCCTCAAATTCACATTTGATGAATAAAGAGCTAAAAGTGAGCCCCAATCATTTCATCAAACTTGCATCAAATCATGGGAGAGCCAAAATTTTAACCAAATCAAGAATGAACCAAATCCTTCACTATGAGATTTTTTGAAAAAATGTGATTTTTTTTTTTCATAAAAATCGATAAAAACAAGTTTTTTGCATAAGAAACAAAGAGTAAGGATTAGAGTGTTCCATGCCAGATCAAGCTTTCAACCAAATTTTCACTCAAATTTGATTAAAAAAAGTAAGTACAAGGATTGGAGATGCTCTTATCAGTGAAGTTTGTACTTAAAAACCCCAAACTGGTTAGGGAGAGCATATTAAACCTGACACAATAGTAATGGGTCCTCGAACATCTGGTAGATTATGCTTGGTGTAATGCTTCACAAGACACTTTATCAGAAGAGACTTTCCAACCTAAAAAAAAAAAAAAATTGAATCCCATTATCATAACTTCATTACTAGCTACTAAAAAATTGATAATTACCTGGGGAGGACCCTGCACCACCACAACATACGGTGCCGGTTCTCCTATAGACCGGTCAATCGTCGGTACATGAAGCCTCCGTTGCTCTTTCTCCGAAGCACGCGATTGCAATCGCTTCGCTTTCACAGTCGAACTAAAAGCAAATGCCTAAAATACATAGCAAAATTAGTTCGTATGGACATGAAAGTAACTAGAGAATTGAGAAATTGATGAAACCTTAGGGTTATGCTGCTTTTTCTGATTGTTTTTTTCCTTCTTTGCTGCTGAAGGGCCAGACTGGCGAGAACGATGAGACTTGTGAGATTGGTCTTGACTACCACTGTCTATAGCCATAATTGTAGAACTATGAAACCAAAATCAAATGTGTTACAGTGACCTTTGGCTCTCTATCTTCTTCTAGGGTTTATGCGATGTTGTTAAAGCTTCGGGTACGGATATCAATGGAGATTTCAGGTTCCTCGAGTCGCCGAACAACATACACAGAGAGCGAGGGACTCTAGGGCTCAAATCTTCGTTAGGGTGACACATAAACGGGTTTGGATAGATTTGGGTTAGTTAATTCGGGTTACATGTTAGATGGGCTTATCCAAATATAAACCCCACATGCCCCGTCCAGCCCGCCCAATTGAATAGGCTCTAATAATTTATTATGAAGATTTTTTTGTATAAACTGTTAAAATTAATAATTAATGACTTTTTTTATCATGAATTTTATAAATTGTCGTTAAAACTTATAATTAGTGGCGAATTTTTCAAACTGTCGATAAAAGTTAAAAATTAAATATTTTTTTGTGACGATTTTTTAAAAATATCGTTAAAATTTATAATTAATGATTTTTTTTGACAAAAATTTTAAACTGTAGCTAAAAATTAACAATTGGTGACATTTTTTAATAGTATTTGATGAAAAATACCATTAATTCTTACTGGACATGTTAAATAATAGTTTACCTATCAGTATCTACACGTAAGTCCCCCAATTTATTTTGTATTTTTAAAATTTTGATATTGATATTTTTATAAGACCATATTAGATGCATGGATTTAGGAAGAGTATTTGAGCCCAAACCTGATTATAAAATAATTTGTATATTATATAAATAGAAAAATATAATTTATTTTGTTTTATTTTTGTTTAAAATAAAAAATATATACATCAAACAGGGAAAACACACCTACCAAAACTTTAAACTTAGGATATAATAAACAAAATTTGAATTTATGTGCCAACTTAGGCCTATTTTGGCAAGTTGGCTAAAAGTTAATTTTTTATTTTTTTTTTAAATCATATCACCTCTTTACTTTTTTATACGTTTCTCAAAAAAATAAAAAAAAAGTCAACTTTTAATTAATTTTTCAAAACAACCCTTACTTATAAATATGATCTATTATGTGTTTTATTTTTGTACTATTTTCACTTTGGTTACATTTTATAGCCTTGTTTTAGTATCATTCAAAATCAATAATTATTCTTAAAATTTTACATGAAATCTCAATAAAATTAAAAAGATCAAATACATAAAGAAAAAACTAAGTAGAAAGTCCAAAAATAACATTTTATAAGTTTTATTTGGTGAAAAAATAAATAAATTCTGAGCAAACGAGCTATAGAAGTCACTTGGGATGAAAATTTCTCGATGAAATGAATCCCCAAGAAAAGTTGTGCAATAGTAGCCCTCACCCTCCTTGATTTGAGAGAGAGAGAGCGAAGACTAAGGCCTCGTTTGGTAAGAGGCTATTTTAACTAATTAGTCAAAAAGCCAACAACCCATACAAAAAAGTCAAAGATTCTCTTTTCTCTCTACTTTTTTCACATCTTTTTGTAATTAGCCAAAAAGTCATCTCAAACATACAAGTTTTTTTTACCTACCTTTTTAGTCAAAAAGCCAAAAAGTTACTAAATTAGCATGTTCCCAAACGAGGCCTAAGAGCAATTGAAATAATCGTAAAAGAAAATATTTAATTGGGTGTAGTCGGTTGAGGTGAAGCACCACTATTAGACAATTCTCACATATCAAGTGTGAAACAGAAGAAAAGAGTCATGCTTAATGTCAATTTGGTTAGGATAATGGTGATCTTAGTTAGTCTAAGATTGTAGGAATATACATTATAAGAAATAACACTTTTGCCGACCAAAAAATTGGTCGCTAAAAGCTCATTTTTAGTCGGCAAAAGTTATCCGCGATCAATTTTTTTGGTTGCTACTTTGGTCGCCAATTGAGGGTTGGCAAAAGCAATTCGCGACCAAAATTTTGGTTGGTCGAAAAAAGTTAAATTTGCTGACTAAATTTTTGGTCGCTAAATATGTCATTACTGCGACTAATCCATTTTGTCGCTAAAACACTTTGGTTACGAAAAGTGAAATTTTCCCGACCAAATATCTCAGTCGCCAATTGTCACATTCCATGACCAAAAAGTTTGGTCGCCAATTATCACATTCAACGACCAAAAAGTTTGATCGCCAATTGTGACATTCCACGACAAAAAAATTTTGGTCGCCAATTGCGACATTCTACGACCAAAAATTTTGGTCGCCAATTGTGACATTCTACGACCTCTTAGTTTGGTCGCCAATTGTCACATTTCACGACAAAAAAAATTAGTCGCCAATTGTCACATTCCACAACCAAATTGTTTGGTCGTCAATTGCCACATTCCACGACCAAACATGTTTGTCGCCGAAAGAAATGTTTGCGCAACTAAAACTTTAGTCTGCAATAGACCTATTCGCGACCAAATCCTTTGGTTGCCAAAATTAATAACTTTAACGACTAATTATTTAGTTGCTAAATGTGCTTGGTGATACACCGACTACTTTGTTTAGTCGGCAAAAGTATAACTTATCTTTCCCGACTAATCAATTGGTCGCCAAAATTAGAAAAACAAAACCAAAATTTGGTTGCCAACATCCAACAAAATAAACCTGTAATTTATAATAATCCATCTAATTTATTCAATATAATCTGTAATTTGCAAAAATTATTCAAACCAACAAATAAATTGAATCATGAAAATTCAACAAAATATATATATCAACCATTTATGAACCTGTTTAATTAAAGTCAGCAACTATTATAAGTTTTCATCCACAAGTAACACTACAAGAAATAACACATTTGCTGACCAAAAAATTGGTCGCTAAAAGTCCATTTTTGGTCGGCAAAAGTTATCCGCGACCAATTTTTTTGATAGCTACTTTGGTCGCCAATTGAGGGTCGGCAAAAGTAATTCGCGACCAAAATTTTGTTTGGTCGGGAAAAGTAGGATTTGCCGACTAAATTTTTGGTCGCTAAATATGTCATTACTGCGACTAATCCATTTTGTCGCTGAAATACTTTGGTCGCAGAAAGTGATATTTTCCCGACCAAATATCTTAGTCGCCAATTGTCACATTCCACGACCAAAAAGTTTGGTCGCCAAAAGTCAAGAAATTGCCGACTAACAATTTAGTCGTCAAAAGGTAAGGAATTGCAGACCAATGATTTTAGTCGCAAAAGTGTAGAATTTGCCGACCAATTTTTTGGTCGCCAAATCTCTCTATTTTTTTTTCTTTCTAGAACATTCAATTTTTGTTTTTAAACATTCAATCTAATATCGAACAAAATTCATTCAACCCAACCACAATTAAGGAACAATAACATTTAAAAAATTAAAAATTGCTCACAGTTTCAGTACCACAATTAAGGAACAAAATTCATTCAACATAGCCAAAGAATTTAACTAAGAATAAAACTTGAGAATTTAACATGTATACAAGAGCAATAGTACGTACAATCTGTGATTTGGCAAAAACAATCACTAAAAATTCAATCTTAAACTACACTTTGCTCTCACCAAAAATTAAAAGAACAAAGAAATCAAAGAAAATAACAAGGTATGAGGCTATTGGAACAGTTCTTCAGCTCTTCCTGTAGTATGCTCATACCACAATGACATCCTATTGCAATTTCATCCAATCTGGACAGGCATACTTAGGATTCAAGCCCAATAACTTGCAGTCTTCATCACTTATACGCTTCAGGACATTTAAAACCTGTAAAAATGTCATATAATGCTCGCTTTGTAAGTCTTGATCAGCTAGAAATTGACAAGAACAAAACATAAAAAATACATAGCTAGAAACATTTCTTCATTGAAGCTACCCTTTCAGCAGAGAGCTGTTGTTTCCTTTCAACAGGTTCAGGAAGCTGTTCTGGGTCATCATTTTTCTTCTTCTGAAGCTTGTATTCAGCAATCATTTTCATACCTTCAATAGTGAGCTTAGGTTGTTGAGCACCACAACCCCCTCGACTCTTCTTAGCTGGTTCATTAGTATCTTGACCCTGGGTGTCAATTTCATCGCCACCTTCACATTTTGTTTTGCTCTTGCTAGCATCTAGGATCTTTTTAAGTCTGTTGGATTTCTAATTTTCTGAGCTTGCTTAAATTTGTGTTCCTCCTACGAAAGTAACAATTGAATAAGAAATGGAAGCTCCACTAGTATATACTTCGAACAGTGGGGAAGAAAATAAGGGAAATACATGGACTTTAATATGGTGATTAATACAGTCACCAAAGAGACCTTCTTAACCAAATAATGTAGCTTTGGAAAATAAACAGGTTTATGAAAAGCAATGTACAAGCAGTTGTAATAGATTTAGAGTAAATGTAGAGGAGGATTAAGGGTGGTTGATACAAGCATACATGAAAATATAGACCATCAAACATATATATAGATAATTGTGGCAAGATATATGCATTTAGCACCTGTCTAATTCCGCTATATAGCTTTTCAAATTCTAGATTTCAAGAAACAAACATGATGGTTTAAACACTAGTAAGATAGACAATTTATGCCCTCTGAAGATAATACTAAAAATGGTAATTATAATGAACAACTCACTCCACGACTCATCACAGCGAAATCACACTAAAGTAGTAAAGTACTAGTATTTCACCCTCTAGGCACTGTTATCTATTCTATGCTAATTAAAATTTCTACCAATTATGTTCATGCAAAGTAATGATCCTAAACAAGACAACCCGAAGTCAGAACCAAAAGCGATCAATTCCATGACCAATGTTATCACTTATCAGAATGCAAATTCTGCAGTCATCATCAATTCCACAAGAGCTCAGTATCGAATAAAAGATCCAATTCCCAATCCACCAATCAGAGATTTCCATGTAGGTTTTGGATTTCAATTTGAAAATACCACCTTAACTCATAATCTTAAGAAAAAACCCAAAAGAACTCCATACAAGTTAGTGATATAAGTGAAGAAATTGAAGCAAAAAAACTACCTCATCGGCCAGAATTTTGGAGCAATTAAAGCAAACGCATCGCATAATACTGAGTACAGTTTTCAAAAACCCAATATGGAACATGGGTTTGGCGAGCTCGAGGTGCCCCAAATGGCCAGGACACTCAGCCATGTTGGCCATACAGGTCTCACACTTCATCTTTCGGTCAATAGAACCCAACCGAGGGTCGCTGAGGCCACCGAGCGTCGGCTTCCCTCGCTCCATCGTCTCACTGTACTCGATCTGCACCACTGACATTTGCCTCTGCCAGAAATAAACACAACATCAAGAAATTAAAACCCCTTTGAAACCCTAATAGCCAAAGAGATGAAGATGAATGGGTCTTTCTTTCGTTTTTTGGCAAATTCTCAATAAAAATACATAGAAAACATAAATTGATTGAAGATTGAAGAAAAATATTATGATCTCATCGAGGCTAAGGACGCCAAACTAGACCATTCGGACCTTGGCGACCTCCGCTAGAGAGTATGGAAATCGAATATCCATGGCTATAACAACTACTACTACTACAACAGATCGTTGAGGATTTCAATCAAAATCAAAAAATGATGAAAGTTTGACCAGTGGATGGAACCGAGGGCAAAGGCTAGAGAGAGAGAGAGCGAGAAACAGAGAGAGACAGATAGACAGACAGATAGACAGACCGAGAGTGAGAGAGAACCTGTGAGGATGCGGCGGCGGCAGCGGCGGTGGCGCTAATAGTGGCGTGCGATGCTGGTTAGCGATGAGGTGAGATTGGGTTAGGATCCCCCAAAATTGAGGAGTCCATTAGACAGAGGGCGATGGCGATGTGTGACGGACGTGAGCAATGGTGGTGAGGGACTTCGGTGAGCTAGAGAGAGTGGGTACCGATTGAGAGAGAGAACACAGAGTGAGGGAGAGGGCGGATCAACATACTACACAGAGAGCGAGTTGGAGACAGGAGATCAGGGCCTTTTTTTAATTTTTTTTTTTCTGTTTTCCTGGTACAAAACGACGTCGTTTCATAATTGGTGACCAAATTTTTTTTCGCCAAAAAATTTCATTTCCCCTCTCCATGTTTCAAATTTCCCTCCCAAACTTTTGGCGACCAAAACACCATATTAGTCACAGAAAAGGTACCTTCGCCAACAAACTTTTTTAGTCGCCAAATCTCAATCAACGGCGACTAAAATATTAGTCGCTAAAAGTACTAATTTGGCGACTAATTTGTTTTGATCGCCAAAATGTAACCTTCCGCGACCAAATTTGTAGTTGGTCACCAAAAGCATACCAATTTCTGCGACGAACTTATTTTTGGTCGCCAAAATGTGACCTTCTCGACCAACTCATATTTGGCCGCCAAAAGTATTGATCATTCGCGACTAATTAATATTTGGTCGCCAAAAGGTAACTTTTAGCTACCAACTTTTATATTGGTCGCAGAAAGTGGTCGCTAAAAGTGCAGATTCTTGTAGTGTAATTCCAAATTACATATTTCATCTAGCATAAAAATTTAAAACATAACAAGTACTTATTTTTATGTTTTAAATTTTTATCCATGTGCATCAATCCAAAAATATAACTAGTAGTCTACCAAATATTTTCCATACACACCCATCCAAAAATATAACTACTAGTGCATCCAAAAATATAACTACTAGTCTACTCTAATATTTTCTATATACATCTATACAAAAATATATAATCCTTCCAAAAATAAAAAAGGTGCCAATTTGTCCTGTACAATTTAGCTTTGTGCACGAGTTCATCCATCTGTACCAAAGAATGTGAGAAATAATGTCAGGTAAAATTGGCCAAATACTGAAAAATGTCCATGAAAAGTTAAGGTCACATTAGCAAATTAAATGACTATCATTATCAAATTGTAAATAAAACAACAGCATTCTTATGCCTATGGCATTACCACTTTAGTATTTCATTGTTTAGTTTTTTGAATGGACTTAAATGTAATTCAAAGAAGAACAAGTAAAAAATAATTAAATAAAACAATAGTTCATAATAATATGCAATGGACTTCTCAACTAGCAAATATAAACTATACATATTGGCATACGAGAGTGTCTAACCATACTAAAGGAGAAAATTGAAGCGGAATTCAAACGGCCGGTGTTTGCGTTTTTTATCACATTGTTTACAGGCAGTTACATCTGGCTAATTAATACTTAATCGAAACCAAAGATCAGGTTCCCCTCCTAATTCTGAAGACTTGGGGCCAACACTAAACGGCCCGTTTTCGCCTATATTTTTGTCCTATTGCCGTTTTCGCCTATATGAGATGTCATGTGCCATACACAAGACATCTCACACTACAACAAAATTAAATTTTTACAACTTGCAATGCATGTCGTAAAAACTCTTTCATGGCATGCATACAAATGTCGTTATATGACATGCTATGGAAAGTTGAGTGTCATTTACGACATGCAGGTAAAGTTGTAAAAAGTAATAAATTAAACATTAATGACATACTTTGTATGTCGTATATAATATTTTACGACATTAGGTTGATGCTATATGGCATTACATACCCCATCATGTACATAGATGAATCATGCTTTATGGCATGACATATCACATTAATTTTTGTTCATAAAAATAAATCCCATCGTATACATTCTGCTCATTGAAAGTCTATTAATTGTTTTCACCCAAATCTTATCCTAGGCCTAGCCCATAGGAAAGACTTAACTGCTTTGATATTGAGTGATAAGTATGTAGGAGTTGAATTGGAGTGCAACTACTCTACATTTATAGCTGCAGGGTAGAACTTCAAGCTTTTGGAATAGCAGTAAGGATTTTCTCACCAATGTATTTGCAATAGATCAATGTACTCAGTGTTGAGGCGCTTAAGGCTTTTCTATACACTTTCTTTAATATTAGCAGCATCAACCCGCAAAATCTTTGCATTGTTACGTATATAACTTGATTGCTCTGAATATCCACACACTTTCGTAGCCAAAATAACCTAACCATAAAGGGAAACGATGTAGTATATCAGTGTTCTGGTATCAAAACAAGAATGTTTTTTGAAGGTTCTTAGCTTTTAGGATTTAATAATTAGAATGAGTGTTTTGACTTCTACAAAATTCAAAATCTTTCATACGTGGAAGATAAAACATACCATTCAGATTCACAAAATGAAGTCAGCAAGAGAGAGAGAGAGAGAGAGAGAGAGAGAAGAATCTCAGACAACTATTACTGTTTAAATCCACAGTGAGAATTTTAATTGAAGCAGTTTGGAATTATATATTTTAGAAAATGATAAACGAATTCCACATGAAACAATAACAATTCATGAAGCAAGTCATTCCAGGATGGATTGCATGTCTATTATAAATTAACAATTACAAATCATTTGTAAGCTAAAAATCAAAGATTGCTTGGAAAAATACATACTACCATTCAATTTGTTTCATTCGTTATTTGAAAACATAGTAAAGAAATTATCATGCTTTATCAGAGCCAAAGCCAGAGCCAAAAACTCAAATTAAATTGCAGCCTACTATAAGAAATTATTAAGGAACTTACTGAAGTTATTTTGGGTTTTAAAGCACTTGATGAAAGTTGAAACTAAACTATATAAGGACTGCTTTCAGTAATTCAAGATGTCAGCCCAAAAATAACTAAACAAAAAATAAATACAACAAAACTATTAATGCAGATTGTCAATTAAAGTTTCAATCTCAGGATTGAAAGGCAAAAAGAGAAGCAAATAGTTCACCACCAATCATCTAACACATCAAAAACTACCTTATCACAAGGTTGAGACTTCAGCTAGCTACCTATATACCGATCTGTACTTCCTCGTGTTTCTTTCTTCATTGGAATTGGATACTTGGAGGGAAAAAGGGGGGAAAAATTTAATTCAATGCTGACAATGCAATGATGATGAGTAGCAATACAAAAATGATGCATATGAAAAGGAATGGTAAAAACAAAATTGAACAAGTTGTTCAAAAATATATACTAGACTTTCTTCATTCTTTCTGACACACATACATACAACTCAAAAGCAATTTTCTTATAAACCACACAACATTTGAAAAGTTAGTGAGCCTTACAACTATTGCAGTTGCACTATGTACTGGTAACAACTTGTTGAAGATATGGGGTCCTTTTAATTTGGAAAGTTTTGAATCCCAAAAGATGTTGAAAAATCAAAACCAAAGAGAATCTTAATTTTTCAGTACAACTGAAAAAGAAAAAGAAAGAAAGCCTTAATTCCAATTACTTGCAGCTTCATTTTGCAGCACAAAAGCCGCAATGTCCAAATATTTGATAAATCAAGTAACAAAACTTGACAGAAATCCTCAAGCAATTGGAATATGAGACTTTAAGTAGAATCCAATGAATTATCCAAGAGTAACATAAAGATATTGAGAAAATAAAAGCAGGAATTATTTTCTAACTTGGGCACCTGTTGAGTAATATGAGAACATTAATCACAGTATTTAAAGGTGGATAAAGGCAATTGATGAGGTAAAATAAAAGTAAATATATTTGATGATGAATCCTTAGTCATATCCAAATCTTGAGTGTCTGAATTGAAATTGCAATCAGAACACATACTCCTCCAATCTTCTATCTTCATCAACATGCACATTTGGTTCTCTTATAGTCTCTTCCACTAGAAGTGAATTGTCATGTACAGTTTTAATATTGTTCAATCTAATGAATGAGAATAGAGAGAAGATACCGATTATAAACCTGAAAATGCTCGAAGCTACGAAACAAGTGGTTTGAATAGGAAGAGAGACAATGGGTAGAAGCCATGTTTGTAGCAGTTTGATCCATAGGAAGATCTGACAGAGAAAGAGCAAAAGAGAGTGGATGTAGAAGCTCAAATAATACCACTTCAAAAATTCATTTGGGATGATGATAGATTCAATGATGAGCCAACAGGATGTGAGCAAAGCCATCCTCAAAACTCAAACATCGCTTGACTATCTCTTATCTTGGAGTTTTAGCATTCTACTTGTGTGGAATTGGCTTACTTTCTAGCACAACAATGTTATATACTCAGAAGAAAAATACCTAAAAGAGTGTTCAAAATTTGAAAATTTGTGAATTAAATACTTTCTAAATATGACTTACATCATATCAAATTTAAATTTATATTATAAATTCAAATCTTGAGCACTTTACTGCTACTTTCCAACTATAATTGTGTTGGTTCATCAACATCGACTTTCTAACATCTCTCATCGTTTCTCTCTTATACACATATTTTAGATCCAAATGAAAATCAGTCAGGATATAAGAGCCTAAATCAATTAAATTGAAACCATAAACAATAGTGCTAGTGCTAGTAATTAGAAATAGCTAGTTTAAGAGATACAAAATTGATTAGTTTTCCAGTACAAACTTCAATTTATGTGAACTTTTTTCTATGAGCAATTTCTTAGTCAATTATGCAGAGACCTTGTGAGCTACCTATCAAATGAGTACCCCTGATTTGATGTTTTTTTAGCTACACTAAGAATTTTTCCATAAGGCCTTATACTCGTTTGACTCCTTTACATAGTATCCCTGATGTTGCGAAGTTTTCCCCCAACCCCCCCTTTTTAGCATCATCATTTGTATCCAATTACAATTGGAAAAAGTTAATGGTTAGCAAAGGTGTTATGTGTCCCAAGTTAGCTTTTGATCCTCACATAAGCCCATGTGCCTATGGGGAGATAATTTTTGTTGTATTTTCAAGTTGATGTAGGCAGAAGGGCACCCTGTTATTTAAATCTATTGCAAACTAATAAAACTTAATATAAATTGAACTGATAGGAATTTTTTTGTGGTGCTCATGAATAATGTTCAAGTATACTCTATGTCTAACATATAGAAATTTAGATATTCAGGAATCACAAGAGTCACTTACCATATTGTTGTATTGTGGCTGAGAGTTGTTATTTTTAAACTTTCATGAACTGTGCTTAGTGATCAAATGTATTATTAGAATTATTTAACTTTGACCTTGTCCTCCATCCCAAATAGGGGATGGGTCCAAAAGGGTGTTTTACACTAAGTAGTTCCTAAGAGACATTTTATCAAATAGTTTGAAGGCAAGAAAAACGGACATATATATAGGCAAGTTGGTACAAACGTATACACATCATTTCATATACACATACAAATAGGTACAAACATATAAATCTACAAATTCAACAAAAGTTCATAGTTTCCTCTACAATGTGCAAATGATTATTAGTACCTTCAAGATTCCAAGTACTCTAGTGACATCTTCTTTCATGAGCTTCTTCCTCAAATCCTTACAATACATCAAACTTAGAGCCTCAATGCAAACTTCAACATCATCACAGTCAACAATCTCGACAATGTAGGGGTTAGAAGTTCGCTGCTGCTTCGACCATCGATCGGAAAGCTTAACCGCGAAGAATCGGCTATGAGCAACCAAGATTTGCCGAGAGAGAGAGATTGATCTAATTCAGGGGGGAAAAATGAAGAACTTAACTAATTAAAATACCTATTTCGGATCTCCTTGAATATTGACGACGACCGAGTACCGATCTCCCTAAAGACGGTGGTAATCTAGTGAAATCTCCCTTTTTGTAGTGGCTCCTTTCGAAATGTCCCCTATGGCTGAAATAGGAAGTTTGGGGCCACCATTATTGATAAAGATTGGGATGGCGGAGAGAGGGAGTGAGGAAGAGAGAAAATGAAGACAGCAATAGGGGGTTCGGGGTTGGGTCTGCGACAGGGAATTAAGGAGAGAGAGAGAGAGAGATAATCGGAGGAGGGCATATGCGAGAGAGATAGAGAGTCATTTGTGTGTTGCAAATCCCTCCAAAATCCCCCTCACCAAATTAATTTAAAAATCCCTCCAAAATTTGAAGTTCAGCCTCCAAAATTTTTAATTATAATTAGCGACCAAAATTTAATAGCTAAAAGTTAAACAAATACAGATTAAATTATTTTTAGTAGTTAAAGATTGCACATTTAGGGACCAATTTTATTTTTTGTAGTCCAAAACATTATTTTCGACGACTAAAACTCAATTAGTTGTCAAAAATAAAATAAATACTGACCAAATGTGTTTTGGTCACCACAAATGTATGTTTTCTGACCAGATGAGGTAGTCACCAAATATTAAAATCAAATTATAGTAGATATTTGGCAACTGAATTTTTTTTAGTCGGCAAAAGTTAGTATATGATGACTAAAATTTATGTAGTCGTTGAAAATAAATTTTTGGCGACCAAACTTTTGGTCGCTAAAGATAAAAATAAATTTTTATTTTTCATTCAGCAACTAAATAATTTTAATTGCCAAAACTAACTATACAGCTGGGCTCATCCTCCTTCTCTTCCACTGGTGTCTCCGCCGGATCTGAAGATCGTCGAGATCTGAATTAGATTTGAATCCTCGTCTCGATTCCTGATCTCTATCAACCTTCTCTCTACCACACCCCTCGAAACAAGCCAGCTTAGAAAACATGAACCAGCTTAGATTACCCAAAGTTGTAGGAATGGGCCAAGTATTTTGGGTGTTTTTCAAAAGTGTTTTCGAAAATCTTCATCTTCTTCCTCTTCATCATCAGCTAGGGTTTCCTAGTTTTCGAGCTCTTCGAAGATGTCAATGGCGTCGCAAGAGCATCTGGACAAGATGCAGCCCTGCCAGAACTACCGTAACCTCTGGCACACCGATCTCATGGACAGCATTCAGGTCAACACTCCATGTACTCTCTTTCTCTCACTTCTGTACTCTAATATGGTATTAATTTTGGTTTGTTTTCTTTGATGCAGATTGTTGCCTTGCGTTTTGGTGGCCACCAGCAGTGAGGTGGGGGTGAAGGAGAATTTGTGTGAGAGAGAGAACAATCTGATTTGTTTAAACAGAGAACAGGTGGGACAATTGGTTTCCCTCTAAAATTTTCACACCTTTGGCGACAAAAGTAATTTTTGGTCGGCAAATGTTAATAATTGGTGACTAAAATTTTGTTATAGCCAAATCTTAATTAATGGCGACTAAAATATTAGTCGCCAAAAGTATTAATTTAGCGACTAACTTTTTTTTGGTCGGAAAAAATAAATATACGACGACTAATTTTTTTTTTGTCGCTGAAGTTTTTGGAGACCAAAATTTTGGTCGCCAAAGATAAAAAATAATTTTTAATTTTCCATTCGGCGACTAAATAGTTTTAGTAGCTGAAACTCAATGTACGGCGGTTAAAATATTTTTAGTCGCTGAAAATAAGTTTTTGGCGATCAAAATTTTGGTTGCCAAAGATAAAAAAATAATTTTTTATTTTTCACTCAGCGACTAAATAGTTTTTGTAGCCAAAAACTCAATATACGGTGACTAAAATACTTTTAGTCGCTAAAAATAAGTTTTTTGGGGACCAAAAGTTTGGTCGCCAAAAGAGAAAAAATAATTTTTTATTTTCCATTCAGTGACTACGTTGTTTTAGTAACCAAAACTCAATATACGGCGACTAAAATATTTTTAGTCGCTAAAAATAAGTTTTTTGGCCACCAAAATTTTGGTCGCCAAAAGAAAAAAAATAGTTTTTTATTTTTCATTCGGAGACTACATTGTTTTAGTAGACAAAACTCAATATACGGCGACTAAAATATTTTTAGTTGCTAAAAATAAGTTTTTTTGCGACCAAAATTTTGGTCGCCAAAAGAAAAAAAAAATTATTTTCCATTCGGCGACTACATTGTTTTAGTAGCCAAAACTCAATATACGGCGACTAAAATATTTTTAGTCACTAAAAATAAGTTTTTTGGCGACCAAAATTTTGGTTGCAAAAAAAAAAAAAAATTTATTTTTCATTCGGCGACTACATTGTTTTAGTAGCCAAAACTCAATATACGGCAAAATAAGGTTTTTTGCAACCAAAATTTTGGTCGCCAAAAGATAAAAATTAATTTTTTATTTTCCATCGGCGACGACAATGTTTTAGTAGCCAAAACTCAATCTACGGCGACTAAAATATTTTTAGTCGCTAAAAACAAGTTTTTTTTTTTATTTTTCATTATGCGACTACATTGTTTTAGTAGCCAAAACTCAATATACGGCGACTAAAATATTTTTAGTCGCTAAAAATAAGTTTTTTGGCAATCAAAATTTTGGTCGCCAAAAAATAATTTTTTTTTTTTTTTTTTCCATTCGGCGACTACATTGTTTTAGTAGCCAAAACTCAATATACGGTGACTAAAATATTTTTAGTCGCTAAAAATAAGTTTTTGGCGACTAAAATTTTGGTTGCCAAAAGAATTTTTTTTTTTTTCCATTCGGCGACTACATTGTTTAAGTAGCCAAAACTCAATATATAGCGACTAAAATATTTTTTGTAGCTAAAAATAAGTTTTTTGACGACCAAAATTTTGGTCGTCAATTCCACAACCAACTTATTTTTGATCTTCCGTGACCAACTTATTTTTTGGTCGCCAAAATGTGACATTCCGTGACTAAATGTGTAGTTGTTTGCCAAAACCATACCACTTTCTACAACCAACTCATTTTTTGGTCGCCAAAATATGATATTCTGCAACCAACTCATATTTATTCGCCAAAAATAATGATCATTCGCGACTAATTAATATTTGGTCGTCAAAAGGTAACTTTTAGCTACCAACTTTTATATTGGTCACAAAAAGTGATCGCTAAAAGCGCAGACTCTTGTAGTGATATGTTAGAAATAATCTAAGCAAATTAAAGAGTAGAGTTAGAAAGAATAGAGTTATTAAAAATAGTCAAATCCTAATAATAAGAGAAATGTTTGGAGGACATTCAGTGAATAAAAATTATATTATTTCTATAAACTCTTTTTTATTTTATTTTTATTCTCTCTAAGCTTTTCTAACTTGGACATTGGAATGCTTCCAATCAAGTAATACATTAACCACGACGAAAGTGTACATGTTCTATTGACTTTGCTTGCTAACATCATCAATCCATGTTGAATTTTTGCCCACACAAAAATATACTCAGCCTCTCACCATTTCACACATTAAAGAGAATTAAATAAATTAAATTGCCTTATTTGTAAATGAGCTAAAAGTAAAATGGCCCAATTCATTTTTTTAAGACACCCAAATGGGCCTTAATGAAGTTTTTAGTGATTTTACTTTTATGAATTCCGTCGAACCGTAAAAATATACTTGGCACGACCAATGATTCTATCTTCTAAAAGGGGTTCCAAACTTCCAATTGATTTTTTTAGTTTCTATTTCAATGTTGCTTATTTATTTATTTTTTATTATTGTTATTTTTAAAGTTGTTTGAAAAAGTTAAATAGTCTTGAGTCCATGTCCATTCACCTAGTTTAGTGCTAATGCGTTGGTCTCGTTTGATAATTTAATTTTTTAATTAAAATATTAAAAATAAAAATTAAAAACTTATTAAAAAAATCAAATATCTCAATAATTTATAAATTTTAATATAATTAAAAAAATTGTTTTCAGACACATTAACTTTTTTTCACTTCATACAAAATTAAAAAATCTCTAAAAATATGAATTAACAAACTACACGAGTTTATTGACTTTGGAAATTCACTACTTACGGTTGAAACAAAATACAGAGTACTATTATGTAATGCCTTCATGAAAACATACAAATAAAATTAAATGGGATGTCTCTTATTTTCTATTAATTTAATCATATACCTTTTTCATTAAATGATAATATCGTCATATATATTATTATTTTAATATTTACTTAATAATCCTATACATTAGAAAAATTATTTAGGGAAGTACTTAGAAAAATATATGTATAACCACATTAATTTTAGATATAGTCCTCAACACACTAATTTTAAATTTATATCATACACTCTATTTTAAGAATATTTGTTAGAATAGAAATTTTGCAAAAGAGTAGTGTTACTCTAACCCAATAGTTAGACTCACTTTTCAAACTCAATAATTTGACGATATATTAAAATATAATTACATTTTACATACGTTTCACATCCCTCCTCCTTCCCCCCCTTTGTTCCCCTAATTGTTACTCAAATCCATAAACTAAACACATCCTTAGAGTAATGCTTTTTTCCATTTATTGATATTTAGTACATTGTATCCTACAACTCAAACACAACAGTGTTGGCTCCTTATGTTGTGATCTTAACATGACAGAACTTAAGAGGCTTGTAGAGTTTAACACAGGTCTTCTTTTAATGATTCAAACCGTTCATTTTGTAAGTCTCGTAATGTATATTATCAATGAAAAAATTTAGAACGATCCGATAATCGTAACATTTTTATTTTATTGCATTTGTCTCAAAAAAATAGATTGTCAATTTCTAATACATATTTGTCGTCATTTTTGCAGAGACAAATGCAATAAAATGAAAAAGTTATGATTGTTAGATCGAACTATAATTTTTTTTCATAGATAATATACATTGTAAACTTTACAAAATGAACGGTTTGAATTATTGAAATGAGACCCGTGTTGGGTCCTATAAACCCCTTAAATTTTGTCATGTTGAGATCCTAACATGAAGCCTATCCTTGTAGTTAACATATTATTTTTTTAGGATAAATTACACTTACCTTCCCTGAGATTTCTGACAATTACAAGAACCTTCCTTGTTTCAATAATTACACTAAGCTCCCTTACTTTTGAAACTATTGTCAAGTTTTCCCTATTATTAGGCTATTTAACAGAAATTGTTGATGTTATGATAATGTCATACCAAAAATGAAGAAATTACACATTAATTACTTTATCTATTCAAATAAGAAATTTCACTCACCTCCCTTCAAGTTTTGCATATATACTATCAAAAATTCATATACATATATTATGATTATTTAATAAAATTCTTAAATTTCATGCAATATTATATAAAATCTTTAAATTGTTAAGACTTTATTAAATCATTTAATGCAAAAAAAAAAAAAACTTAATTTTTATTGATGAAATACTTAAAACTAAATAATCTCTCTAAAATTAATGTTAGATAACAGCTTAATAATTTAATGTAAGTTTTATTTCACACCACATAAATAAACTAAAAAACTACCTTTTTTGTCAGCTAAGAAGAGCCAAAATCATCCATGCTCATATAGAGAAAATGGAAAATGAAAAATGAAAAAGGGAGACATGGAGAAAATGAAGCTGTGAGCTGAATGCTTTACTGTTCATATTACATTTTTCAAAAACTCTAAAAAAAAAAAAAAAAAAAAAAACACTCCCTCTCACTCCTTATATATATTACATCCCTTCACTTGCTCTACTCTCTACCATGCTCTCTCCCTCTCTAAGAAAAAATCATATCTAGAGGAGAGAATATATATATCCATGGCTTCAACTTCTGTTATGTCAAGCCCAAATATGAACCATGTCACATTTCCATGGGATGCTTTATCAAAGCCATGTTCATTTGGTCAAGTCACCTTGAAGAGAAAGAGCGAAACCTCTTCCTCGGTGGCCACTCGATCTATGGTTGCTTCCCTAACTGCACCGCCACCGGTAGTTGCAACTAAGGCTGTTGAAGAAACTGGTTGTACTTTGGCCGGTGTTTGGAGAGAGGTTCAGGGTTCGAACAACTGGGAAAATCTAGTGCAACCCTTGGACCCTCTTCTCCGCCATGAGATCATCCGGTACGGTGAGTTTGTCACCGCATGTTACAAAGCTTTTGACCTTGAACCTGCCTCGAAACGATACTTGAATTGCAAGTATGGTAAAAAGAACATGTTGAGAGAGGTAGGGTTGGAGGATTCGGGGTACGAGGTCACTAAATACATCTACGCTACCCCAGACTTCAACATTCCGATCCAAAATGGCCCCTGTTGTGGCCGTTGGATAGGATATGTTGCAGTTTCATCCGACCAAGAAGTCCAAAGACTGGGAAGGAGAGATGTACTTATAACATTCAGAGGAACGGTCACTTACCCTGAATGGATCTCCAACTTCATGAGCTCATTGACTCCAGCGCGGCTCGATCCCCACAATCCCCGTCCAGACGTGCAGGTGGAATCGGGGTTTCTCAGCCTTTATACTTCAGATGAAAGTTCAAGCAAATTTGGGCTCGGAAGCTGTCGCGAACAGCTCCTCTCTGAAATCTCGCGGTTGATAAATAAGTACAAAGGTGAGGAAATTAGTATAACTTTAGCCGGGCATAGCATGGGGAGCTCGCTCGCTCTTCTTCTAGCTTACGATATTGGAGAGCTTGGACTAAACAAAGTGAAAAAAATTTCGAATCATCAAGAAACAACAATACCAGTTACAGTTTTCTCATTTGCAGGGCCAAGAGTTGGGAACTCGGGTTTCAAAGGCCGGTGTGAAGAGCTGGGGATAAAAGCCCTGAGGATAGTGAATGTTAATGACCCCATCACAAAGCTTCCTGGGGTTGTGTTTAATGAGAATTTTAGGGTTTTGGGTGATGGGGAATACAAGTTTCCATGGAGTTACTCATGTTATGCTCATGTGGGTGTTGAACTAGCCCTAGATTTTTTCAAGATGGAAGACCCATCTTGTGTTCATGACTTGGAAACCTATATCAGCTTGCTCAGATGTCCTAAGGGCTTGCAAATGAGGAGAGAAGGTGTAGATTTCATCAACAGAGCAAGAGAGGTAGTGATGAATCTGAGTGCTGAATTTGGTTCAATCTCAAAGGGCATGTTCCTAGATAACCTACATATATGTGAACAGTTCTTCTACGTGTATAGAATTCTATCACAGATATGTATGTGATCGTGTGCATTTAGAACTAAGGGAAGAATTGCTCAGCCTTAACTTGTACATCTTTTTTTCAGTTATTTGGTGGAGCAGTTTAACAACAGACATGACTTTGCATAACCTCTGAAAAAAGTCATTTTATTAGGTTAATTCATGCTGTATGATATTACTGAGTTCTGTAATTAATTCAAGCGAGATGTGTTCTGTACCACAATATATCTTCCCGATTGACCTTATGTGTTGTTAACTTGTTCAATCATTGATTTTCATTTTTGGGAAGGGTGTTCCGTTTGTCTTGATATGTGTTTTGTTTTGATGTTATTTTATTTTATTTTAGTTTCCAAGAAAAATATTGATGGAATTAATCTGGTATAAAAGGAGTACCTTTGATACAATTGAGATACATCACTCAATTTATTAAATAAATAGGAAATCATTTTAGACATCATTTGAAAGAGGTAATGCTCTTTAAACCGTGCATACTATCTCATTTGTTACGGGGAGATATTTTCTACCAAACAAATAACTAACTAAATAAATAAATAGAAAAGAAATCAAGACTATCATACTTCGGATAAGCAATATGAGATCTGGTAGGAAAATTAAGTTTGTATTTTAATCTTTGATTTGAATAGTGATTTGTAGCTAATAAAAAGGAAAAAAAGTGACAAAAAATTATTTTATAGGACAAATTACACTCAATAGTTTCTGTATTTTGTCACTTATTGCAATTTAGTCCCTGTAATTATAATTGCATCAATTTTGTTCTTAAATCATTTACATTGCATCAATTTAGTCCCATTAAAAACGCACTTTCATAAATTGGACTTAAGGGGTTGGTGTTCAATTTGAAATAATTTATTTCCTTTTGAATGAATCATTTTGCCTTTAATTTCTTAACAAATATTAAATTGATACAATTAAAACTGTAAGAAATAAATTGACACAAAACACAAATTATAAAGATCACGAGTGTAATTTACCCTAATTTATATATTTGTCTATTTTACTTTCCTCTTTTTCTCTCTTTCTCCCCACAATTTCTACACAAAAACAACTAATAATTGATTTGTTTTATTTTTTAATTGTTTTGATAATTTCCGATTTCATTTAAATAAATAAATTTGTTTTTGAGTAATTTAGAAGTTTTTACGTAAAGTTCATACTTTTTTTTTGAACAGCAAAAAAAAAATCCGTATTATTGAAATTAATAAAGATGAACAATATAAAATACATCAAATAGAAAAGTGTCAAAAATGTCATTGTTGTATGTCTAACGATGAAATTAAACATTTAATTATGAATTACTATCTTTTTGGAATTAATTTTTTTGTCTAAAAAATTACATATTTTTTTCCATGAAATTTTCTATCTCTAAAAGTGAGTTTATTAGTAACGTTTTCAAAATTTTGTCATTAAAGATCATTTTTTTTTACGATTGGGATGGCTCACTGCAGGAAATTCAGCTTTTAGCGGCGTTTAAAAAACGCTGCTATAGGTATAAAAAACGCCATTAATTCTTTTTGTAACGCCTAGAACCAAGTGTCGAAGATGCGGCCGTCGCTATAACATTGGGGCGCTTTAAAAACGTCGTTAAATGGTTATAGACAGCGTTTTAAAAAACGCCGCTAAATGTGTTGTAATTTTTAGTGACGTTTCAAAAACGTCATCATAGTTTTTTTTGGATTTTAAAAATATAGCTGTTGACTGTATAGTGGCATTTTCAAAAACGCCATTATATCTTTATTTTTTTAATTATTTTTTTGAAATTGTGCTAATTCTATGTGGTTGAACCAAAAAAATACCTGTAATAAAATTAAAAAATAGCACTAACATGAAACGATAACACTTCCATTCCCATTCAAATGAACATTTGTCAAAAGATAAACCGATTAATATAAAAAGTTGTCAAGTAGCAAATACAATATTGATTCACTTTCCCATTAAATTTAATATACAATTACCATTAACTACAAATTAAAATATTCACAAATCATGTTTTAACATTCGCCAAAAAATAACAGGAAAAACATCAATTTAATTTAATTTAATGTCTTGTCCTTGTTACTAAATTCACTGAATCTAGCTGATATGGCATAGAATCTGTAATCTTCACTAGTCTGGATGCCTACATCAAAACATGGAAGCCAAATTAGGTAAAGCGCATAAATCAATAATAGTAGAAGTGTTACAGCTATAAAACATAAGATCTACATTACAACTCACGGTCTATTGAAGAAGGTTTTGTACCTGGAAGAACAATTTAAATAAATCAGTCATTTCTAAGACTTTGAAATTGCAGAAAAAGAATGAAAGAACTAACGTTACATTCCTAAAATGGAGACCAAATATGGATGAAATGAAACCTGCAGATACTTGCGGGATGCCACATTTAATGAAACTCAGGATACCATCGCTCAACATTCAATGCAATTGAAATAGTTTAACTCCATAAAATTCATACAAAAATTAGAAAACAAAAGAAAAATATAGAATCCAGCACCAGCATTATGCAAATAATTTTATGCTAGAATAATCTTTCAAATAGTTTATACAATCCGAATAATACAATATTAATTTGATTGTTCATTAAAAGGGGAAATATTATCTTGGGGTGAGGTCAATTCTGCGCAAAGAAACACTTCCTCGCACAGATAAAAACTCCACAACTAGCGAAAAAAAATAAAATCAAACTGGAAGAATTTGAATACAAGTTTGAGCATTTAAGTGATTTACCCCTTATGATCTGCTGCAAAAATCGTAGGCCTCCCAATAATCGGTGCATCCTGCTAGAGTGAATTAAGTCAGAGAACCTGTTGCCTTTGAAAATAAAGCACTATGGTAGTTGATCATCATTTAACAAAAGCATGTGTTTTCGAATGAAAATCTCATATCTAAAAGGATATTGTTTCGAATGAAAATTTTTAATGAGGAAAGACTATATATTTTCGAATGAGAAATTTCAAATCTCAAACAAATATTTTTGAATGAGAAATTTCAAATCATAAACATATTTTTTGAATGAGAAATCTCAGATCTGAAACATATGTTTTTGAATAAGAAATTTCAAATCTCAAACATATTTTTGAATGGGAAATCTCAGATCTCAAACATATATTTTTGAATGAGAAAACTCAGATCTGAAATCTTAAACATATGTAAACCCTAGGAGAAGAATCGACGGAACGAAGAGCTTGAGAGAGAGAGAGAGGGAGAGAGAGAGGGAGAGAGAGAGAGAGGGAGAGAGAGAGAATACGAAACTGAGATTGTAGACGGTGTCCTCACCTTAGTCAACAATACAGATGGTGCTGGCGGTGGAGCTTTGAAATCGAGAGAGAGAGAGAGAGAGAGAGAACTTCGAAGTCGAAATCATTGTGAGATTGGATTTGAGATGAAACCGAGTTGAAGAAGGTTGAATCGTAATCTCTGAGACTGAAGGGTTTAAAGAGAGAGCGAGCGATTGAGTGAGTGAGTGAGTGAGAGATTTGAGGGATTGACTTCTCTAAGACTATGAATGTTTCCCAGATTCAAAATGAGGGCGCAGAGAGAGAGAGAAGGGTTCTGATTCTCACAGAGCTAAAGAGAGGGGGAAGAATATTATTGTAACACATGAAGGCGTTTAAAAAACGACTTCTATTCCTTAAACGGTACCGTTTTAATCAAAATAAAATGCGACGTTTATAAAACGTCGTTAAAGGTTATAAGCAGTGGTGTTTAAAAAAACGTTACTAAATAAACGCCGCTAAATTCTATATTTCTTGTAGTGGCTAGCTTTTTGGTGACCTCTTTTATGACAAGAATTGATCTACTAAATTTTTTTAAAAACAAAATTTCATTTTTTAAAAATGAAAAAAATTTAATATTGATTATTCATATTTGATCGAGGGCTAATGTATTAAAAAAATAAATAAATAAAATTAAGGTGAGCAACTAAAATAAAATGTGATCATCATTTCCCTAATTTAAATGTGATACTTTTGAATTTTTTTGACTTCTACACGCCGTTTATACAGTACTTTTAGAAGATTTCTCCTTTGAAGCTGGCTTATCAAGTTGGCAGGGGGCAGCCTTTTCATTTTTGTATTTATTCGACGATAATGTTTTCTGATTGGCCTTGATTAATTTAAAAAGAAAAAGAATATATAATTGAAATTTAAAAATAAAAATAAAAAAAGCTAAAAATAAAATAAAATATTTAATTGTTTTGATTTTTTTCTTTTATGATTTTTTTCTTTTATGATTTTTTTTTTTTTTTTTTTGTCTGTCTAGTCAAGTAAACCTAAAATCTTAAAGCTTTTCGTGGAAAACAAGTTCACTAAAAATGGAAAAAAAAAAACTTTAAAAAAAACATCAAAAAACTAAAACCGAACCTACTTAATTAAATGGAATGAGTTTGGAATATGAAATTGAATGCCCATTTCATTGAAATACCCATTCTTATGTTTGGTTCAGTAAAAAAAAAAAAAAAAAAAAAATTGAAAATGGCAAATGCAATAATTGTTAACCAATTTAAGAAAATCGCCATTTCATTAGAGGCCAATGAATAGTCATTCTATTCTTATCTAAATTCAATTTTTTTTTTTGGTGAATAATCTAAAATAATTTTAGCCAACCAACACTACCTAAAGGTGTTATTTTTTTATTCTCGTTTATTTTCTTTCACCTTTGACATAAAGGTTTGTAAGGAAAATATTTTGAAACAGTATTTGAAAACATAAAATTTATAAATAAAATTTTATCATAATGATATAACAATGATATTTTGAAAAGAATAAATAACTTTGATTAGTCTTTTAATTTGAAATGAATAGATAGTGATTATCATTCTGTAAAAAAAAATTATATATAATTATTTTTATTTGTATATCATTACTTAGGTGCCGTTTGGTAACACTTACGTTTTCAGTTTTCAATTTATATTTACAAAAATTTAAAAAACTCAAATAAAAACTTGTTTAGTAAATTTTTTATTTATAAATCAGTGATCTCAGTTTATAAATTTGGCCAAAAAATGTAAACTCAAAAAATGTACTTCAATTTTGAGTTTTGAGTTTTTTTTTTTTTACCACCCAACACTAGCCACCACCTGTCACCATTTTCCACCACCGTCTTTCGCCACCACCCCCCACCCCCCACTACCGCCTCCCATTACCACTCCCCAGCCACCTGCCACCACCACCCACCAC